GGGCATCCTTCCAATCCTGCGAAACCCGGTCCAGTGGTCCAGACTGTTGTTATGATGTCATATAGGGCAGTCTGTGCACAAACGCCACCCTCCCTCAGCATTTCGCTTGGGAGATCATCTCTGCCCGCTGCCTTTCCTGGTCTCAGACTCCGGATCGCCTTCAATACTTCCTCAGCAGATGGCACCTCAGCCAGCACTCACAGGGGGTGACTTCTTCAATATTTGAGGCACCGCAGCCTCAGCAGGGTCATCCTCACTTTGTGCCACGATGTTTTCCTGGCTGAGGGATTTTCCCTCCCCCAGGACCTCACGAAATGCTCAGCAAATCTTCGAACCTGTTCCTGGGGGTCGGAGATTGGATCACCGTTTTTTCCCCTAATGATGGTAATAGGTGTGGCGCTGCAGGTTACTTTTTTGATGGAGTTAAATAGAGATTTGTGATCACGGGCCACTGAGGCAGACTCCATCTCCTCAGCAACCCGCGACCACCGCCCATCCTTGCAGCGCCTCACGGCTCTCCGAACCTTCCGAGCGAAGGCTGCGGTAAGCCTCCTCATTCTCTGACGTGGGATTCTGTAGCCGATGACAGTGGGCCTGTCGCTTTTTATAAACCAAACTGAACACCTCCTCTGTCAGCCAGGGTCTCAGGGGAGGTCTGGACGCGTACCCAAAGCAGCCATGCAGCTGCATGAGTCACAGTCCTAAACCTCGCCCATTACCCTCGACATCAGGAGGAGTCGGGGACGATGCCAATCCCAGCCGCAAGCGATGATGAAATTCTCGCTTGCAACTTTCATCAGATAACTGAGACCAGGCCACTTTATGTTGGAATGGGGTCCTGGGTGTACACCCACCACCGGAGTGGAAGAATGGCAGGCGCATCTTACAGATGACTAGTCGATGGTCAGAGGGCAGATCAGCTCCACGGTAGGTCCTGGTTGTCAAGGACATGGGCTCGCATTCGCTGGTCCGTCACTATGTAGTCTATGTAGTCCAGTGACACACAGACACACACACACAGTGACACACAGACCACACACCACAACAACCGCCATTCGCCACTAAGTGGCTGGTGACGTCACCACGACGCTTGTGCCAGGCTATGTGCACCTGAGGCCGTGTGAAGTGTCGGAACGCCCGCTGGCAGGAGGTCACGGGGCAGACCCAGGTGCCACGGGTCGACTGACTGAGACGACTGGCTGATGCATCACCTGTGCCCCTACTGTGCCAACCTGCTGGTGCTTTAGCCACCCGGCGCTCCACTCGTTGTTGTGAGCGTTGCTCCTCCGTCCTCCGTTGTGTTGGAGGGCGACTGCCTCCAACTGCCCAGTAGCAGCGTCCTTCACGAGCCTCCTCCAGAGAGGCCGATCTTGAGACCGCTGGTACCAGTCATCGGCAAGTCCACTCAGCCCCACGTCCTCCTGTACCACGTCACTCCATCTCTTCTCTAGCCCGTGCCGCGCCCGCTTAGCCCCCTCGATCCGGCCGAACCAAAGCTGTTTGGGCATGCGGTGGCTGGGCATGCGGTGGCTGGGCATGCGGTGGCTGGGCATGCGGTGGCTGGGCATGCGGTGGCTGGGCATGCGGTGGCTGGGCATGCGGTCTGGGCATGCGGTGGCTGGGCATGCGGTGGCTGGGCATGCGGTGGCTGGGCATGCGGTGGCTGGGCATGCGGTGGCTGGGCATGCGGTGGCTGGGCATGCGGTGGCTGGGCATGCGGTGGCTGGGCATGCGGGCTACATGACCCAGCTGCGCTACAAACCCGGCGACCCGAGTTCGATTCCCGCTCAGGGCCACCACCGGTGACCATTATTTTTACCGGTCCTGGGCCTCCCCTAGGTCGACTCAGCATGAAACGAGTAACTACTCTGCTGTGTGAACATCGCCACTGGGGAGACAAAGGCGGCGGGCTAGTACTGTATATGGAGATAATAAGCCGTCCAGACAAAATGTTAATTGCTTAAAACGAGGCAATTAATTGATGCCGATTTAGATTCAGGCATGCATTGTCTCCGGATCTGAGTACGTGTGCAACATTTTGGAATTGATTGGGCAACAGCAAGTAGACTAACTTTTGATTACAAAATTTGACCACGACAAACACAAGGAGTTAAGTTAAGTAAAACCGTTGAAATAAAAGAGGGGAACACATTCTCCTGCGGAGGGAGCTGGTAGGAACGTCGGGTTTGTTCGGTCAATGGCCAGGGTCAACAGCGGCACCACGTGGTGTATTCCGCACAATATGCCCGACTGTGAGGGCGGGCACAAGCCGGCGTGAGTAGGTTAAACGTTGAGTTTTATAAGGGCACCACGGGGTGACCAGCCCCTCCCCACCCAGCCCCACCTCCCACCCAGCCCCTCCCCCACCCTCCCCATCCAGCCCCTCCCCACCCAGCCCCTCCCCCACCCTCCCCACCCAGCCCCTCCCCCACCCTCCCCACCCTCCCCACCCAGCCCCCCCCACCCTCCCCTCCCCACCCAGCCCCACTCCCCCACCCAGCCCCTCCCCCACTCTCCCCACCCAGCCCCTCCCCACCCAGCCCCTCCCCCACCCTCCCCACCCAGCCCCTCCCCCACCCTCCACACCCTCCCCACCCAGCCCCCCCCCCCCCCACCCTCCCCCCCCACCCAGCCCCCCCTCCCCACCCAGCCCCTCCCCCACCCTCCCCACCCAGCCCCTCCCCACCCAGCTCCCCCCACCCTCCCCACCCTCCCCACCCAGCCCCCCCCACCCTCCCCTCCCCACCCGCCCCTCTCCACCCAGCCCCACCCCTCCCATTTTTGGATGCACGACGGACGGACACAATAATCCCTTGTGGGCTTGTGGTGTAACCAGGAGGTTCCTGCACAGTAAAAACCTATCATCATATTTTGATGCTGGCAAAGGAGATCCCATTATGTAGCTGCTCAACCCCGAGCTCTCATTACTCTGATAGTGGCATTGTCTTTGGGCTGCTACTAGCAGCAATTGCCCCTACAGCCTGCTGGAGACTACCTGGGGGACCTTTGTCTGTGTCTCCTTCATAGACACTGCTACTCGCCACTAACAGCACTTGCCCCTACAGCCTTCTGGAGGCTACCTGGGGGATCTTTGTCTGTCTCCTTCATAGACACTGCTGCTACGAACAGCACTTGCCCCTACAGCCTGCTGGAGGCTACCTGGGGGATCTTTGTCTGTCTCCTTCATAGACGCTGCTACTCACTACTAACAGCACTTGCCCCCTACAGCCTGCTGGAGGCTACCTGGGGGATCTTTGTCTGTGTCTCCTTCATAGACGCTGCTGCTGCTACTAGCAGCACTTGCCCCTACAGCCTGCTGGAGGCTACCTGGGGGATCTTTGTCTCTGTCTCCTTCATAGACGCTGCTGCTACTAACAGCACTTGCCCCTACATCCTCCTAGAGACTACCTGGGGGATCTTTGTGTCTCCGTCATAGACGCTGTTGCTACTAACAGCACTTGCCCCTACAGCCTGCTAGAGGCTACCTGGGGGACATTTGTCTGTGTCTCCTTCATAGACACTGCTACTCGCTACTAACAGCACTTGCCCCTACAGCCTGCTGGAGGCTACCTGGGGGACCTTTGTCTGTCTCCTTCATAGACACTGCTACTCACGACTAACAGCACTTGCCCCTACAGCCTACTGGAGGCTACCTGGGGGATCTTTGTCTGTCTCCTTCATAGACACTGCTGCTACTAACAGCACTTGCCCCTACAGCCTGCTGGAGGCTACCTGGGGGACCTTTGTCTGTGTCTCCTTCATAGACGCTGCTGCTGCTACCAACAGCACTTGCCCCTACAGCCTGCTGGAGGCTACCTGGGGGATCTTTGTCTGTGTCTCCGTCATAGACGCTGCTACTAGCTACTAACAGCACTTGCCCCTACAGCCTTCTGGAGGCTACCTGGGGGATATTTGTCTGTGTCTCCTTCATAGGCGCTGCTGCTGCTACTAACAGCACTTGCCCCTACAGCCTGCTGGAGGCTACCTGGGGGATCTTTGTCTGTCTCCGTCATAGACGCTGCTGCTGCTACTAACAGCACTTGCCCCTACATCCTGCTAGAGGCTACCTGGGGGACCTTTGTGTCTCCTTCATAGACACTGCTACTCACTACTAACAGCACTTGCCCCTACAGCCTGCTAGAGACTCCCTGGGGGATCTTTGTGTCTCCTTCATAGACACTGCTACTCGCTACTAACAGCACTTGCCCCTACAGCCCTGCTGGAGGCTATCTGGGGGACCTTTGTCTGTGTCTCCTTCATAGACACTGCTACTCACTACTAACAGCACTTGCTCCTACAGCCTGCTGGAGGCTACCTGGGAGACCTTTGTCTGTGTCTCCTTCATAGACACTGCTACTCGCTACTAACAGCACTTGCCCCTAAAGCCTGCTGGAGGCTACCTGGGGGATCTTTGTCTGTGTCTCCTGCATAGACACTGCTACTCACTACTAGCAGCACTTGCCCCTACAGCCTGCTGGAGGCTACCTGGGGATCTTTGTCTGTGTCTCCTTCATAGACGCTGCTGCTACTAACAGCACTTGCCCCTACAGCCTGCTGGAGGCTACCTGGGGGATCTTTGTCTGTGTCTCCTTCATAGACGCTGCTGCTACTAACAGAACTTGCCCGTACAGCCTGCTGGAGGATACCTGGGGGAGCTTTGTCTCCTTCATAGACGCTGCTGCTGCTACTAGCAGCACTTGCCCCTACAGCCTGCTGGAGGCTACCTGGGGGAGCTTTGTCTGTCTCCTTCATAGACGCTGCTGCTACTAACAGCACTTGCCCCTACATCCTGCTAGAGACTACCTGTGGAATCTTTGTCTGTGTCTCCGTCATAGACGCTGCTGCTGCTACTAACAGCACTTGCCCCTACAGCCTGCTGGAGACTACCTGAGAGACCTTTGTCTGTCTCTTTCATAGACACTGCTACTCGCTACTAACAGCACTTGCCCCTACAGCCTGCTAGAGACTACCTGGGGGAGCTGTGTCTGTCTCCGTCATAGACGCTGCTGCTACCAACAGCACTTGCCCTTACAGCCTGCTGGAGGCTACCTGGGGGAGCTTTGTCTCTGTGTGGGCGTTGCTTCCCATGGTCCACATGTCTCGTGACCCCCCCCCGCCGCCAAGGCGATTTAATTCGCTGCAGCTTAACGGGTAACATTAAGACAAAAAATGTAATTTTTGTTTTAAACACTGAAGGGTTTTTATTTATTCTTTTTAAAAACGCCGCATAATTAATGTGCGAATTATATTATTTATCTAATTGTGTTTTTTTTTACGAACCAATAATTTTTTCTCGAGTCAAATCTGCTCCCCGCTTAACTTAATCCGCTAATGATTTAAAAAGCGTTCACCCTTTAAACAAAACTAAATAAACTATGGGGGGTGGGGGGGACTTTTTTGCGTGTGTGCGCGTGTGTTTTTCCATTCCCTTATTTACGTACAATTATATTTATTTTTAAATACAGAGTTTGAAGTTTATCCCGATTGGTGAATAGTGAGCGCTGAGGCCTGTTGCCTCACCTAGGCCGCAGGCTTCACGGTAAGTGTAGGTCTATTTTCTTAAAGTCGTTCTCTATTGTTGACTTGTTACACCTCGTCCAACGTGATTTGTGTTATGTGTTATGTTGTGTGTGTTGTGTGGTGAGTCGGTGGGTCTGTGTGTGGTGAGTCTGTGGGTGTCTGTGTGGTGAGTCTGTGGGTGTCTGTGTGGTGAGTCTGTGGGTCTCTGTGTGGTGAGTGTGGGTGTCTGTGTGGTGAGTCTGTGGGTCTCTGTGTGAGTCTATGGGTCTCTGTGTGGTGAGTCTGTGGGTCTCCTGTGTGAGTCCTATGGGTCTCTGTGTGGTGAGTCTGTGGGTCTCTGTGTGGTGAGTCTGTGGGTCTCTGTGTGGTGAGTCTGTGGGTGTCTGTGTGGTGAGTCTGTGGGTCTCTGTGTGGTGAGTCTGTGGGTCTCTGTGTGAGTCTATGGGTCTCTGTGTGGTGAGTCTGTGGGTCTCTGTGTGAGTCTATGGGCCTCTGTGTGGTGAGTCTGTGGGTGTCTCTGTGTGGTGAGTCTGTGGGTCTCTGTGTGGTGAGTCTGTGGGTGTCTGTGTGGTGAGTCTGTGGGTCTCTGTGTGGTGAGTCTGTGGGTCTCTGTGTGGTGAGTCTGTGGGTCTCTGTGTGGTGAGTCTATGTGTCTCTGTGTGGTGAGTCTTTGGGTCTCTGTGTGGTGAGTCTGTGGGTCTCTGTGTGGTGAGTCTGTGGGTCTCTGTGTGGTGAGTCTAGGTTTCTGTGTGGTGAGTCTGTGGGTCTCTGTGTGGTGAGTCTGTGAGTTTCTGTGTGGTGAGTTTGTGGGTCTCTGTGTGGTGAGTCTGTGGGTCTCTGTGTGGTGAGTCTGTGGGTGTCTGTGTGGTGAGTCTGTGGGTCTCTGTGTGGTGAGTCTGTGGGTCTCTGTGTGGTGAGTTTGTGGGTCTCTGTGTGGTGAGTCTATGTGTCTCTGTGTGGTGAGTCTTTGGGTCTCTGTGTGGTGAGTCTGTGGGTCTCTGTGTGGTGAGTCTGTGGGTCTCTGTGTGGTGAGTCTAGGTTTCTGTGTGGTGAGTCTGTGGGTCTCTGTGTGGTGAGTCTGTGAGTTTCTGTGTGGTGAGTTTGTGGGTCTCTGTGTGGTGAGTCTGTGGGTGTCTGTGTGGTGAGTCTGTGGGTCTCTGTGTGGTGAGTCTGTGGGTCTCTGTGTGAGTCTATGGGTCTCTGTGTGGTGAGTCTGTGAGTCTCTGTGTGAGTCTATGGGTCTCTGTGTGGTGAGTCTGTGGGTCTCTGTGTGGTGAGTCTGTGGGTCTCTGTGTGGTGAGTCTGTGGGTGTCTGTGTGGTGAGTCTGTGGGTCTCTGTGTGGTGAGTCTGTGGGTCTCTGTGTGGTGAGTCTAGTGGGTCCTCTGTGTGAGTCTATGGGTCTCTGTGTGGTGAGTCTGTGGGTCTCTGTGTGAGTCTATGGGCCTCTGTGTGGTGAGTCTGTGGGTGTCTCTGTGTGGTGAGTCTGTGGGTCTCTGTGTGGTGAGTCTGTGGGTGTCTGTGTGGTGAGTCTGTGGGTCTCTGTGTGGTGAGTCTGTGGGTCTCTGTGTGGTGAGTCTGTGGGTCTCTGTTGTGGTGAGTCTATGTGTCCTCTGTGTGGTGAGTCTGTGGGTCTCTGTGTGGTGAGTCTATGGTTCTCTGTGTGGTGAGTCTGTGGGTCTCTGTGTGGTGAGTCTAGGTTTCTGTGTGGTGAGTCTGTGGGGGTTCTCTGTGTGGTGAGTCTGTGAGTTTCTGTGTGGTGAGGTTGTGGGTCTCTGTGTGTGAGTCTGTGGGTCTCTGTGTGGTGAGTCTGTGGGTGTCTGTGTGGGTGAGTCTGTGGGTCTCTGTGTGGTGAGTCTGTGGGTCTCTGTGTGGTGAGTCTGTGGGTCTCTGTGTGGGTGAGTCTATGTGTCTCTGTGTGGTGAGTCTTTGGGTCTCTGTGTGGTGAGTCTGTGGGTCTCTGTGTGGTGAGTCTGTGGTCTCTGTGTGGTGAGTCTAGGTTTCTGTGTGGTGAGTCTGTGGTCTCTGTGTGGTGAGTCTGTGAGTTTCTGTGTGGTGAGTTTGGGTGGTCTCTGTGTGTGAGTCTGTGGGTCTCTGTGTGATGAGTCTGTGGGTCTCTGGGTGGGTGAGTCCTGTGGCCTCTGTGTGAGTGTGTGGGTCTCTGTGTGGTGAGTCTGTGGGTCTCTGTGTGATGAGTCTGTGGGTCTCTGTGTGATGAGACTGTGGGTCTCTGTGTGATGAGTCTGTGGGTCTCTGTGTGTGAGTCTGTGGGTCTCTGTGTGGTGAGTCTGTGGGCCTCTGTGTGTGAGTCTGTGGGTCCTCTGTGTGATGAGTCTGTAGGTCTCTTGTGTGATGTGTTTGTGGGTCTCTGCGTATGTGGGTTTCTGTGTGTGGAGTCTGTGGTTCTCTGCGTGAGTCTATGGGTCCTCCTGTGTGATGAGTTCTGTGGGTCTCATGTGTGGTGAGGTCTGTGGGTCTCTGTGTGATGAGTCTGTGGGTCTCTGCGTGAGTCTGTGGGTCTCTGTGTGAGTCTGTGGGTCTCTGCGTGAGTCTGTGGGTCTCTGTGTGTTGAGTCTGTGGGTCTCTGTGTGGTGAGTCTGTGGGCCTCTGTTGGTGAGTCTGTGTGTCTCTGTGTGATGAGTTTGTGGGTCTCAGCGTGAGTCTGTGGGTCTCTGTGTGATGAGTCTGTAGGTCTCTTGTGTGATGCGTTTGTGGGTCTCTGCGTGAGTATGTGGGTTTCTGTGTGATGAGTCTGTGGGTCTCTGCGTGAGTCTATGGGTCTCTGTGTCATGAGTCTGTGGGTCTCTGTGTGGTGAGTCTGTGGGTCTCTGTGTGATGAGTCTGTGGGTCTCTGCGTGAGTCTGTGGGTCTCTGTGTGAGTCTGTGGGTCTCTGCGTGAGTCTGTGGGTCTCTGCGTGAGTCTGTGGGTCTCTGCGTGAGTCTGTGGGTCTCTCCGTGAGTCTATATGTGCGTGGCAGTGTGGCAGTTTATGTATTTATGTGTGTGGATGCCGTACACTGCAGTGGTGTACAGAACGTTGGTGTCAAGTATTTTGCGTGGTGGTTCTGTGGTTGTAGTGTGGTGTACAGTGCTGTGTGGTACGTTGTGATTATGGTAGTGTGTAGTGTGGTACATGGTGTAGTGTGGTTCATGGTGGTGTATAAAACATCGCCACTGGGGAGACAAAGGCGGCCACCCACCCCCTCGCCTTCATAGGTGCTGCTCGCTAACTGCACTTACCCCAACAGCCTGTTAAGGCTACACGGGGGATCTTTATCAATGTCTGAGCTTCTGTGTCGCTTGCCTCGCAGATGGCTTCACTCGTCAAGTCTCCTCCACCCCCTCCTCCTCCTCCGCTCATCAAACAAGAGGCTGCTGATGATGATGAGGAGGAGGAGAGCCCGGAGCCTGGGATGAGTCCTGACCTGGCGGTGAAGCGTGAAGACGCCGCCGCTGACGGTGACGATGACACGGCCGGTGAGATCTCAGATTCAGAATAGGCTGCAGGATTCCCATGCGTGGCTTTTGAAGCCCTTTTCGACAGATGTCCAGTGTGGGCAGGGCCGGCATGTCTTTGGCGAGTGGACGCATCTGTGGTGTCGTGAATCTCCTGACAGGGAGACGACGCATAGCCAGGGTTTTGAACGCCCAGGATCTCGGCGTCTCCGGCTCGGTGTCTTTCTCACACTAGCCGTTGTGAACCACCTCAGACGAGAGGAGACACCCAGACCCAGGGCTTGAACCCAGCATCTCAGTGTCTCTGGCTTGGTCATCATGAACCCCTGAGACAGAGAGAGACACCCAGACCCCAGGCTTGAACCCAGCCTCTCCGCGTCTCTGGCTTGGTCATCATGAACCCCCTGAGACAGAGAGAGACACCCAGACCATGGCTTGAAACCCAGCCTCTCAGTGTCTCTGGCTTGGTCATCATGAAACCCCCTGAGACAGAGAGACACCCAGACCCAGGGCTTGAACCCAGCCTCTTCTGTGTCTCTGACTTGGTCATCATGAACCCCCTGAGACAGAGAGAGACACCCAGACCCAGGGATCGAACCCAGCCTCTCAGTGTCTCTGACTTGGTCATCATGAACCCCCTGAGACAGAGAGAGACACCCAGACCCAGGGCTTGAACCCAGCTTCTCCGCGTCTCTGGCTTGGTCATCATGAACCCCCTGAGACAGAGACACCCAGACCCAGGGATCGAACCCAGCTTCTCCGCATCTCTGGCTCGGTCATCATGAACCCCCTGAGACAGAGAGAAACACCCAGACCCAGGGCTTGAACCCAGCCTCTCTGTGTCTCTGGCTTGGTCATCATGAACCCCCCTGAGACAGAGAGAGACACCCAGACCCAGGGCGTGAACCCAGCTTCTCCGCGTCTCTGGCTCAGTCAGCATGAACCCCCTGAGACAGAGAGAGACACCCAGACCCAGGGCTTGAACCCAGCTTCTCCGGGTCTCTGGCTCGGTCATCATGAACCCCCTGAGACAGAGAGAGACACCCAGACCCAGGGCTTGAACCCAGCATCTCTGTGTCTCTGGCTTGGTCATCATGAACCTCCTGAGACAGAGAGAGACACCCAGACCCAGGGCTTGAACCCAGCCTCTCTGTGTCTCTGGCTTGGTCATCATGAACCTCCTGAGACAGAGAGAGACACCCAGACCCAGGGATTGAACCCAGCATCTCAGTTTCTCTGGCTTGGTCATCATGAACCCCCTGAGACAGAGACACCCAGACCCAGGGCTTGAACCCAGCTTCTCAGTGTCTCTGGCTTGGTCATCATGAACCCCCTGAGAAAGAGAGAGACACCCAGACCCAGGGATTGAACCCAGCTTCTCCGTGTCTCTGGCTTGGTCATCATGAACCCCCTGAGACAGAAAGAGACACCCAGACCCAGGGCTTGAACCCAGCTTCTCAGTGTCACTGGCTTGGTCATCATGAACCCCCTGAGAGACAGAGAGAGAGACACCCAGACCCAGGGCTTGAACCCAGCATCTCTGTGTCTCTTGCTTGGTCATCATGAACCCCCTGAGACAGAGATACCGAGACCCAGGGCTTGAACCCAGCTTCTCCGCGTCTCTGGCTCGGTCATCATGAACCCCCTGAGACAGAGAGAGACACCCAGACCCAGGGATCGAACCCAGCATCTCCGCGTCTCTGGCTCGGTCATCATGAACCACCTCATACGAGAGGAGATACCCAGACCCAGGGCTTGAACCCAGCCTCTCAGTGTCTCTGGCTTGGTCATCATGAACCCCCTGAGACAGAGAGAGACACCCAGACCCAGGGCTTGAACCCAGCTTCTCTGTGTCTCTGGCTCGGTCATCATGAACCCCCTGAGACAGAGAGAGACACCCAGACCCAGGGATTGAACCCAGCTTCTCCGTGTCTCTGGCTTGGTCATCATGAACCCCCTGAGACAGAGAGAGACACCCAGACCCAGGGATCGAACCCAGCATCTCAGTGTCTCTGGCTCAGTCATCATGAACCTCCTGAGAAAGAGAGAGACACCCAGACCCAGGGCTTGAACCCAGCTTCTCTGTGTCTCTGGCTTGGTCATCATGAACCTCCTGAGACAGAGCGAGACACCCAGACCCAGGGCTTGAACCCAGCATCTCAGTGTCTCTACCTTGGTCATCATGAACCCCCTGAGACAGAGAGAGACACCCAGATCCAGGGCTTGAACCCAGCTTCTCCGCGTCTCTGGCTCAGTCAGCATGAACCCCCTGAGACAGAGAGAGACACCCAGACCCAGGGCTTGAACCCAGCTTCTCCGGGTCTCTGGCTCGGTTATCATGAACCCCCTGAGACAGAGAGAGACACCCAGACCCAGGGCTTGAACCCAGCTTCTCTGTGTCTCTGGCTTGGTCATCATGAACCTCCTGAGACAGAGAGAGACACCCAGACCCAGGGCTTGAACCCAGCCTCTCTGTGTCTCTGGCTTGGTCATCATGAACCTCCTGAGACAGAGAGAGACACCCAGACCCAGGGATTGAACCCAGCTTCTCAGTTTCTCTGGCTTGGTCATCATGAACCCCCTGAGACAGAGACACCCAGACCCAGGGCTTGAACCCAGCTTCTCAGTGTCTCTGGCTTGGTCATCATGAACCCCCTGAGAAAGAGAGAGACACCCAGACCCAGGGATTGAACCCAGCTTCTCCGTGTCTCTGGCTTGGTCATCATGAACCCCCTGAGACAGAGAGAGACACCCAGACCCAGGGCTTGAACCCAGCATCTCAGTGTCTCTGACTTGGTCATCATGAACCCCCTGAGACAGAGAGAGACATCCAGACCCAGGGATCGAACCCAGCGTCTCTGTGTCTCTGGCTCGGTCATCATGAACCCCCTGAGACAGAGACACCCAGACCCAGGGATTGAACCCAGCTTCTCAGTGTCACTGGCTTGGTCATCATGAACCCCCTGAGAGACAGAGAGAGAGACACCCAGACCCAGGGCTTGAACCCAGCCTCTCTTGTCTCTTGCTTGGTCATCATGAACCCCCTGAGACAGAGGATACCGAGACCCAGGGCTTGAACCCAGCTTCTCCGCGTCTCTTGGCTCGGTCATCATGAACCCCCTGAGACAGAGAGAGACACCCAGACCCAGGGATCGAACCCAGCATCTCCGCGTCTCTGGCTCGGTCATCATGAACCACCTCATACGAGAGGAGATACCCAGACCCAGGGCTTGAAACCCAGCCTCTCAGTGTCTCTAGCTTGGTCATCATGAACCCCCTGAGACAGAGAGAGACACCCAGACCCAGGGCTTGAACCCAGCCTCTCTGTGTCTCTGGCTCGGTCATCATGAACCCCCTGAGACAGAGAGAGACACCCAGACCCAGGGCTTGAACCCAGCTTCTCTGTGTCTCTAGCTTGGTCATCATGAACCCCCTGAGACAGAGAGAGACACCCAGACCCAGGGATCGAACCCAGCATCTCAGTGTCTCTGGCTCAGTCATCATGAACCTCCTGAGAAAGAGAGAGACACCCAGACCCAGGGCTTGAACCCAGCTTCTCTGTGTCTCTGGCTTGGTCATCATGAACCTCCTGAGACAGAGCGAGACACCCAGACCCAGGGCTTTGAACCCAGCATCTCAGTGTCTCTACCTTGGTCATCATGAACCCCCTGAGACAGAGAGAGACACCCAGATCCAGGATCGAACCCCGCTTCTCAGTGTCTCTGGCTTGGTCATCATGAACCCCCTGAGACAGACACCCAGACCCAGGGCTTGAACCCAGGCTCTCAGTGTCTCTGGCCCAGCCACCATCTCCCTGAGCCTCTCAGTCTCCTCTCATCTGAGCAGTAGCAGCAGCAGCAGTGTTTGTGTGCAGCAGCAGCAGCGTGTGTGTGTGCAGCAGCAGTGTGTGTGTGTGTGTACAGCAGGAGCGTGTGTGTGTGTGCAGCAGGAGCGGCATTGTGTGTGTGTGCAGCAGGAGCGTGTGTGTGTGTGCAGCAGGAGCGGCATGTGTGTGTGTGTGTGCAGCAGGAGCAACATGTGTGTGTGTGTGTGCAGCAGCAGTGTGTGTGTGTGCAGCAGGAGCAGCATGTGTGTATGTGTGCAGCAGCAGGAGCGTGTGTGTGCAGCAGGAGCGTGTGTGTGTGTGCAGCAGGAGCGGCATGTGTGTGCATGTGCAGCAGGAGCGGCATGTGTGTGTGCAGCAGCAGTGTGTGTGGGTGCAGCAGGAGCGTGTGTGTGTGCAGCAGGAGCGTGTGTGTGTGCACGTGCAGCAGGAGCGTGTGTGTGCACGTGCAGCAGGAGCGTGCGTGTGCATGTGCAGCAGGAGCGTGCGTGTGCACGTGCAGCAGCAGCAGTGTGTGTGTTTGCAGCAGGAGCGTGTGTGCATGTGCAGCAGGAGCATGTGTGCGTGCAGCAGGAGCAGCAGTGTGTGTGTGTGTGCATGTGCAGCAGGAGCGGCATGTGTGTGTGTGCAGCAGCAGTGTGTGTGTGTGCAGTAGCAGTGTGTGTCTGTGCAGCAGGAGCGGTTGTGAAGCAAGAGGAGGGTGAGGGCCGTCTGGGCCGCGAGATCGTGAGGACGCTGGTGAAGAGCGAAGTGGTGGAGGAGGAGGATGGTGAGTGAGAGAGGGTGATGGTGGTGATGGTGGTGATGGTGAGTGAGAGAGGGTGATGGTGATGGTGAGTGAGAGAGGATGATGGTGAGTGAGAGAGGATGATGGTGATGGTGAGTGAGAGAGGATGTGGTGATGGTGGTGATGGTGAGTGAGAGAGGGTGATGGTGATGGTGGTGATGGTGAGTGAGAGAGGATGTGGTGATGGTGAGTGAGAGAGGATGTGGTGATGGTGGTGATGGTGAGTGAGAGAGGATGTGGTGATGGTGGTGATGGTGAGTGAGAGAGGATGTGGTGATGGTGGTGAGTGACAGAGGATGTGGTGATGGTGGTGATGGTGAGTGAGAGAGGATGTGGTGATGGTGGTGATGGTGAGTGAGGGAGGATGGTGGTGATGGTGAGTGAGAGAGGATGTGGTGATGGTGAGTGAGAGAGGGTGATGGTGGTGATGGTGAGTGAGAGAGGATGTGGTGATGGTGAGTGAGAGAGGGTGATGGTGAGTGAGAGAGGATGGTGGTGATGGTGGTGATGGTGAGTAAGAGAGGGTGATGGTGGTGATGGTGAGTGAGAGAGGATGGTGGTGAGTGAGAGAGGGTGATGGTGATGATGGTGGTGATGGTGAGTGAGAGATGGTGATGGTGAGTGAGAGAGGGTGATGGTGAGTGAGAGAGGGTGATGGTGATGGTGAGTGAGAGAGGATGGTGATGAGTGAGAGAGGATGGTGGTGATGGTGAGTGAGATAGGGGGATGGAGGTGATGGTGAGTGAGAGAGGGTGATGGTGAGTGAGAGAGGGTGATGGTGATGGTGAGTGAGAGAGGATGGTGGTGAGTGAGAGAGGATGGTGGTGATGGTGAGTGAGATAGGGGGATGGTGTGATGGTGAGTGAGAGAGGGTGATGGTGAGTGATAGAGGGGGATGGTGCTGATGGTGAGTGAGAGAGGATGATGGTGATGGTGGGTGAGAGAGGGTGATGGTGGTGATGGTGAGTGAGAGAGGAGGATGGTGATGGTGAGTGAGAGAGGATGATGGTGATGGTGAGTGAGAGAGGGTGATGGTGGTGATGGTGAGTGAGAGAGGAGGATGGTGATGGTGAGTGAGAGAGGATGGTGGTGATGGTGAGTGAGAGAGGGTGATGGTGGTGATGGTGAGTGAGAGAGGAGGATGGTGATGGTGAGTGAGAGAGGGTGATGGTGGTGATGGTGAGTGAGAGAGGAGGATGGTGATGGTGAGTGGAGAGAGGATGGTGGTGATGGTGAGTGAGAGAGGGGTGATGGTGGTGATGGTGAGTGAGAGAGGTGATGGTGAGTGAGAGAGGGTGGATGGTGATGATGGGATGTGAGAGAGGATGATTGTGAGTGAGTGAGAGAGGGTGATGGTGGTGATGGTGAGTGAGAGAGGAGGATGGTGATGGTGAGTGAGAGAGGATGGTGGTGATGGTGAGTGAGAGAGGGTGATGGTGAGTGAGAGAGGGTGATGGTGATGGTGAGTGAGAGAGGATGGTGGTGATGGTGAGTGAGAGAGGGTGATGGTGAGTGAGAGAGGAGGATGGTGATGGTGAGTGAGAGAGGATGGTGGTGATGGGTGAGTGAGAGAGGGTGATGGTGAGTGAGAGAGGGGGAGAGTTCCTCACACGCCAGCAGAAGGGCGCTGAGCTAAGAGGAGCATGCGTTACAGAACGATCACGTCCCTTGGTGCTGCGTTCGCCACGAGCCAGTGGTTCTCAACCAGGGGTTACCCCTGGGGCGGGTTGGGGGGGGGGCGTGGCAACGACCCAGGGGGTAACGTCTCGGGGTTAATTTACAAACGCGTGACGTCATGTCGCGCGCGTGACAGAGTCATTGGTGAATAATCACGTCGCGTGAATCTGACAACATGTGTAATATATACAGTGGGTCGCTCGTTTATCGCGGGGGATACGTTCTAAAAATAACCCGCAATAGACGAAATCCGCAAAGTAATCAGCTTTATTTTTTTTACAATTATTATACATGTTTTAAGGCCGTAAAGCCCCTAACCCACAAACTTTATGCACTTTTTCTCAGACAGGCATTAACATTTTCTCACATTTCTCTCTTATTTAAACACTCTCAAAAGTTCAAACTTTCGCAGATTTAAAAAAATAAGTACAATATTAGTAAATGAAACCAAAGATCAAAACCTGTTTTCAAGCCCAAACATTGTTGTAAATCTGGCTAGCCGAACGCATTCTGTACTCCCTTAGCTAATCAGGACGCAGAACACATGTGCGGTTCTCCTTTAGCCAATCAGGACGCCGAACACAATGCGCGTTCATACTGTACGCAGGAAAAAAGCATGCAAAATTACACTAAAAAAAATCCGCGAAACAGCGAGGCCATGAAAGGTGAACCGCGTTATAGTGAGGGACAACTGTATATATATAAAAAAAAAACCTTTTTTTAAACACGATTTAATGAAATGTACCGTACGAGTAATGGCAGAACTCCAGGAAGTGGCCCCGAAGCTTGCCCACAACGTTAAGGGGACCGTGGTGATTCACAGCCAACGTCAGTTGAGCATGGACAATTAAGACCCAAGCCGATAGAACGTAGTATTGTCATCAGTGTGACGTAATTATACCAAGTTTGCAGTCGATACCACATTGGGAAATGGGTTAAAATTGAGTTACAAGATTTGAGGATACAACAACGACGACAACAGACAGAGTGAGTTAATAAAAAGCGTGTAAAAGATTCATACTCTTTGGTTCTATTCGGTAAAGTCACGTAGGTAAAAAATTAAAACAACAAAAATCACGACGTTTCGGCCATTAATTTTTTACCTACGTGACTTTACCGAATAGAACCAAAGAGTATGGATCCTTGCAGTCACGAAAGCTTAAAATCTAGAAGTGTTAAAGATTGTTTAAAAATTATATATTTTTTATTTTTAATGATAGAATCTAGTATTGTCATCAGTGTGACATAAGTATACCAAGTTGGCAGTCGATACCACATTGGGAAGTGGGTTAACATTGATATACGAGTGCTTTGGATTACAAACACGTTTCCGGAACGAATTATGCTCGCAATCCAAGGTTGGACTATATCAGGTATAGCCCTGTGAGCCATGCGGCTCTTGACTCGGGCGCAACCGCAACAAAACAAAAACGTGAACAAGAAACGTCTTAAAGTGACTAAACGCAACAGAAAAATCCTAGGAAAAAACCAGCAAAGTCTTCCAGAAAAAAACACCGCACGTCAATGCTGTGTGAAAAAATCCCAGTGGGATGCAAGTCAAACAATAACAACCATAAGACAATGTAGACTCAAGTTATCAGGCTAACTCTGTACTACAACAATTAAAATATGGCTAAACCAAAACGTTTTCAAAATCACTCAAAAAAATAAAATATGTAAAACATGTGATGGAGCATTACCATGTGATACCATCACATTATGAACTGCTCTGTATATTATAATGCAAGGATGAGAACTTAAAAGATATGAATTGCTTCCAACTGTTTTAATTGTAATAGAACATATTCTTGGTTCTTTCGGTAAAGTCACGTAGAAGGTGAAACAAAATAATAAAAATATAAAACAATAAAATTCTCACGACGTTTCGACTGCAACACAAGCAATCATCATCAGGTGTGAAAACCACAACAAGAAAATTTGAAAAAAAGTGGCGCTTATTTTTAACGTTAAAAAGAACCAAGAATATGAATCCCCGCAGTCACGAAAGCTTTAAATTGAAATAGAACAATCAAACATAGAACAATTGTCACGTTAAATAAAGTTATAATAATAAATGAAACAATTCCAATAAGAAAGCAATGGGACTTTTCAAATCGCAAATCTCCGTGATTTGTTCTTGACACCTGATGAAGATCGCTTGCGTAGTGATCGAAACGTCGTGATCGTTTTGGTTTAGCCATATTTTGTTTGTTGTAGTACAGAGTTAGCCTGATAACTTTAATCCTTATTGTCTTATGGTTGTTATTGTTGGAATTGCATCCCACTGGGATTTTTGCATACAGCGTTGATGTACGGTGCTTTTTCTGGAAGACTTTGCTGTTTTTTTCCAGGATTTTTCTGTTGCGTTTAGTCACTTCGAAGACGTTCCTTGTTCACGTTTTTGTTTTGTTACGGTTGCACCCGAGTCAAGAGCCGCATGGCTCACAGGCTTATACCTGAAACTGAAAACTAGCAGCTGGTTAGGGTATCCCTCACGAAATGGACTCAAATCGGTTAAAATATTGGACGTTAACCGTTCTCGCGCATCTTTTTTTCTCGGAACCGTGTTGGGTCAGGCAAGGGGGGGGGGGGGGGAGCTGGGAGTGGGGAGGTTACTGGGTCGAAAGAAAAATTCAATAAGGGGGGGGGTAAAGTAGCCAACACTTCGATAGGTGACTAGCCACATCAAACGCTTTGGTTCTTTCGGTAAAGTCACGTAGGTAGAAAAATGAATAGATCACGACGTTTCGATCGCAACACAAGCAACCGTCATCAGGTGGGACAACCACAGTAAGAGAAGTGTGATGTTATAAGCGTTGTTATTATAATGCCAGGCCCTCCTTACAATGGTCCGGCGTGGCTTCGGTCTGCTTCACGATGGCCGCGAGATCGCAGCAGGAGAGACAGGACGCAGCCCCCAGGGCTCAGAGCCGTGTCCTCGTGTGTCAGACACTGACGCAGCGGCTTCTGACGGTGCATCGTCGCGTCTCTCGGCCGGAGAATCTGGATCCTTAACCCTCGCTGGGACCCCGCAGAGTTTGGGATGACCGGTCAACACTCACCGATTCCCCCGCTCGCTCACCGCCATATTACTACTGATAGCCACCGCGATTTACCGTTCCTGCGAACTTCACTCGCCGATTGACTCAAGTCGATAAACTAAACAAATTGTTATTTAACCAGGTAAGGCCCACTGAGCAGTGTAGCTCTTTTTCTAGAAGCGACCTGGCCACGAATGATAGCTCAACGAAGTGGCCCATCATCTTGATTTGAAGCTTTCGTGACTGCAGGAATCCATACTCTTCGGTTCTTTCGGTGAAGTCATCGCGTAGGTAGAAAATGAATAGATCACGACGTTTCGATCGCAACACAAGCGACCCTCTCTCACCTGAAGACGGTCGCCTGTGTTGTGATGGAAATGTCGTGATCTGTTAATTTTCTATCTACGCGATGACTTCACCGAAAGAAACAAAGAGTATGGCCCATCATCGCCGCGTGGACGTTTGTGGGGAGGAGCCAAAATACTCGAAACGCACGATTATAAATGTGGAGGGGAAAACCGGAGGAGCCAGACCACAAAATCCACGCGACCACAGGGCGAAAGAGCGACGTGCGAACTCCAAATACACAGCAGGCGTCAGGGTCGGGATCGAACCCACTACCTCCTGCATGCCAGGCGGGGTAGTCAACATCTCCTAGCCACCGTGGCGCCCACCTGCCCACTCACCCGTCGGTCATTCGCCTCCTTGTCGCTCTTCTACTGATTTTCTAAACATGGGCGGTGACACGGCCGAGCCGTAGCGCGTTCGCCACTTGGTGCAGAGGGTTCGCTGTTCAAGGACAGCGGCCGCCCTGGTCAATTCTGCAGTGTGAACTAACCCCTGAGTAAGGCTTGCCCGTCTGCTCCGTTCAAGACTGGATTCTTATAGACGTCATTCCTAACAAGAGTAGATCGTTGTGTGCCAGCGTCACTTGGCAGAATATTAATTACACCGCAATGTTTTCTTTGGATAAAGACAGACAGCCACATTGTCCCCTACTGTGAGACTACTGTGGACTATATTCTTGGTTCTTTCGGTAAAGTCACGTGGAAGGGAAACAAATAATAAAAATATAAAACAATAAAATTCTCACGACGTTTCGACTGCAACACAAGCAATCATCGTCAGGTGTGAAAACCACAGCAAGAATTAAAAAAAAATACACCTGATGATGATTGCTTGTGTCGCAGTCGAAACGTCGTGAAAATGTTATTGTTTTATATTTGTATTATTTTATTGTTTCCCTTCTACGTGACTTTACCGAAAGAACCAAGAATATGAATCCCTGCAGTCACGAAAGCTTTAAATCTAAATTTACTGTGGACTATAATCCTCCGTGAAACACAGCAGTTACGGCCTTCCTTCACGATAGACTCGTGCTGTACGATCGGCGATAATACCGTAATGTACTCAGTTATTTGATTTGATTCAGTTCCAGATCTGAAGATCGTTAAAGTGGAAGGAGCCTGTGAGAGGCCGGAGGAGATGGAGGATTCCCATGGGTGTCTGGGCACTCAGGACCAGAACTTCATCGAGGTGGAGTTGTCGGGGGATGACGTTGGTGAAGGTGAGAGTTCCACCAATTGATCGCGTCGCACAGGGAGAACGCAACAGCATCTTCTTGTCTCGTCGCCGGTCACATCCCGGTCAGGCGGGCAGCTGCTACAGCGGTGGCCTGATGGTCAGCGGCAGCAGCAGCTGACCGGACCTGTGATCCAGAGGTCACCGGTTCGATTCTGTCTACCGGCACGGCAGTTTGTGAAATGATGGGAGCAGGCTTCTCGAATGCCACGCCCCATCCACCGCCACCGCCCACCCCGGGCAATAAATGGGAGTAACCCGCACCTCCCGAGAAGTGCCGGCTTTAGTGTGGAGGAGCGGACCACAATACCGGCCTAGAGCTCCCCCGCAGCGGAAGGCCCCTTCCGCCGGCAGTGGCGCGGGCAACGCAATTGCAGGGCGGCGCCTTTACCCGTTGCACTAGGATGGGGCGAAGTTGGGCGGGCGCACGGCTACACGGCGCCGTGCCCCCCCCCCCCCCCTTGGGACCTCCTCCGGCCGGCAACGACTCCCGATTCCTCGATCCGGTCCGTTGTTGACCCCCGTTGGTGTCGAGTCCGGGCTCGTCTGGCCACTGGTGCTTATCGGAAGGCGGTTGCAGGCTCTTGCCAGGATGTGGGCAAGTACCTTGGCAGGCACCGAGAGCAGCGGGCAGCGTCGCCCCTGCGGTGTTTTGGTGCGGTCAGCTCAGTCCGACCCTTTCACTTTGGGACGATCGGTCCCCCGTCTCCAATCGGGGTGGGGGGGTGGGGGGGTCAGACCCCGATCTCTAAGCTGCATCAATCACCGAGTGGTGGAGCCCTTTAAGCAAATCCTCCCCGCCGGCCTTCAGAAGTTCGGCTGTGATGCCGCAAACCCCAGCCGCCTTTCCCCCCCCCCCCACCTTCAGCCTCCCCCACCTTCAGCCTCCCCCCCCCCCCCCCACCTTCAGCCTCCCCCACCTTCAGCCTCCCCCCCCCCACCTTCAGCCTCCCCACCGCTGTCTCCGGACTTCGTCCAGTGGCGGAGGGGCCTCGGATATGGGGCGGGGGGGGGGGGGGGGAACGGCGGCCCTGCGCGCGGCATCAGGCACATCCAGCTTCACAGCCGGAGAGGAGGGAGCGAGGAGCTGCTCAGAGTACCTGGCCCACACAGCCCCAGCACTCCCGAGAATCTGACGCAAGAGATCCATCGGCCACCTCCGATGAGGCCACTCGAGGTTTGGGTTTTGGAGCGGAGGCTTTTGAGGGCCCGTTATGCACAGCCGCGTGTCACCCGTACACAGGTGGCTCCCGAACAAGCCCATCAGGTCCACGACCAAATGCTTCCCTCCCATCCCTTCTCAACAAGGCCTGACGTACCAGCTGGCCGCGCAGGACGAATTTGCAACACCGCTCAAAAGGTCGCGGGTGTCTCCGATGAGGTGAGACCCCCTCCTTGACTCCAACACGGCCACTGGCCGCCTCCAAGATCCCCACGCTTGAATGCTTCCGATTCGAGACCTCGACGGCAATCCCCTCATCTCAGGAGTTTCTCGAGGTCTAGCGCTTCCACGCTGGACCTCGGAATCCTCTTTTGGGACTTTAGGCGGTACCAGGGGTCTGCTATCAGCAAGCCTACGATCAGTATTGAGGATGACCCCGCACTCGTGACGACCCGGCAGTTCTGGAGGTGCTTCCAAGCGGGTGCCATACGAGAACGTGATCGATCTCCTTCTCTGCACCGGCGGCATCGAAGAGCCAAAGTTCCGGCGACGAGGAGTCAGGCCGTTGGAGCCGTGATAACATAAATTCTCAGCTGCCCGGATGTTACAAAGTCCAAAAAGCAAGGCTCCATTGCTATTCTTGGTCCCTGTTCCGTGTGGACTGATACCCATCACCGCATTGAAGTCTCCGAGGACAGCCCGGGGCATCTCGAGGTAGGACACATGTCCAGGGACCGTCCCGTGGGTTTTGCACGTTCCGCCTGCCGGGGTCCCTCCGTGACACCACCTTCGTCCATGTCCTCAAGATCACGCGCCTCGGTGGGGGCTTGGACAGCGACAAGGAAGGGGCACCCGAGAGACCGCCCCAACCTCATCGTCACCGTACGTCTCACGAACCGCGGTGGCCCCCACCACCAAGGGAGTTTGTGCACGCTCGACCCGCAGTGGGCGCCCCCTGGTGGTGTTCACCGTGAGGGCAGCTGGACCAGCAGTGGATGTAACCGCCACGACTAACCTCGCCGTCCCCGGGGCGACCGCTTTGACCTTTGACCCCGAATATCAGGGGTAAATTATCATCATCTACCCGAGTTGAGACATTTGCCGGAGCCGAACCATACGAGTCGCTAAAGGTTCACACACGGGCTGGAGCCTTCGGGGGAACGACCGCTCAGCTGCCCTCCACTGGTGCCCTGTCGCACCTTTGAACGGCCGGACCAGGATAACGGCAAGAACCCACCAAACCCCTGGCCACTGGTCCGACAGGTCTTCATCGGCGCATCAGTGGTGGGTCCTTTCACATGGCTCAGCCGCAAGCCGTACCGCGGATGGTGGTGTTAGTCTGTGTTTAAGATAGAATGTAAACACGCGAGAGGTGGGCCTCGAGAAGGTGACCATCTGCCACCCTAAGCACTCACATTCACGGAAAAACACCTGCAGGACGCAGTGCGGGCGGACGCTGCAGCACAGTTATGCATTCCATCTTGAATACACATACGCGTGTGTGTGCGTGCGTGCGGCAGACGAGGGTAGGGAGATGGAGCCGTTGTGCGAGGCGTGCCGGAGGGACCTTGGCAGGTGGTTCGTGTCGGGTCAAGCAAAACCCACGGGACGGTCCCCACGATGCTGCCTGCGGTGCGGGAAGACGCTTACAGGCGTAACGTCACGCAACAACAACAACGACGTTCCGCGGATGAGGACATTGGCACCGAAGGAGCCGTGCGTCGTTCGATCGGAAACGGCGAAGGCTTCCAGGCCCGCGCGCAGGCCGGTGGTGCGCGGCGAACGGCAGAGGCGGCACGTGTGCGGCGAGTGCGGCAAGGGCTTCCCGTACCGCTGCCTGCTGAGGACGCACTCGGGGATCCACACGGGCGAGTGGCCGTACGCGTGCGGCGAGTGCGGCAAGGGCTTCCCGCAGCGCTCCCACCTGGAGACGCACGCGCGCATCCACACCGGCGAAAGGCCGCACGCCTGCGCCGAATGCGGCAAGGGCTTCAGGCAGCGCTCGGACCTGAATATTCACCTGGTGACGCACACGGGCGAGCGGCCGCACGCCTGCGGCGTCTGCGGCAAGGCCTTCTCGCTTCGCTACAACCTGGAGAGGCACGCGCGGATCCACACGGGCGAGAGGCCGCACGTCTGCACGCAGTGCGGCAAGGGGTTCTCTCAGAGCGACACCCTCAAGAGGCACGCGAGGATCCACACGGGCGAGAAGCCGCACGTCTGCACGCGGTGCGGCAAGGGGTTCTCTCAGAGCGACACCCTCAAGAGGCACGCGAGGACGCACGCCGGCGAGCAGAAGCCTTGAGGTCGAAGGGATTTGCCGATCGGACGAGCATTGATATGGATGGGGGAAGGGTGGCCCGGTGACTTGGAGATGTGACGGCCGAGATCCTGGATTTGAATCCAGGTCTAGGCCACTTTGCGTGTCAACCGAGTTCTCGCGTGTGCTGAGATATTTATTGGTCTCGGCTCGGCCACCAGTTGACAGTATAAATCGTGATCGCATTAAGTTTGATTTTGCATTGAATTTGGCCGAATCGCAGCTCCGAGAATAAATATTTTATATATTTGCACTTATACGGTGTCGCTTAAGTTCCTCAGCAACTCAAAGCACACCCCCCCACCATCGCACCTCAATCTCCAACATTCCCAGGGCACCCCCAGTGGGAGCTACCCCTAGGCGGCACAAGGTGTACAACACAGCAATGGCCTGCGAGCGGGAATACTCGCTCTCGGTTGACCTCACGGAGGCTCTTTAAGGTCCACTGTGAAGCAGACGGCACTTGGTATTCGTTTGCATTCGTTTTAACCGCAGCGTTAACCAAGGCGGCTGGGCCTACTACCTGTGTGTGTGTGTGTTGTGAGTGGGGAGTGGTGGCGCGGCCGTTGCATCGGTAACCCGGCGGAGAGCCCAGTTAAATTGTCGCTCGCGGCAGCCAGCGACATCGGTGAATATCTGAACCGGTCCTGGGCCCTCCCCCAGGTCGGCTCGCCCTTAAATGATTACCTGGTGCAGTGTGTATTACACATCAGCACCGGGGAACAAAGGCGGCAGGCCGTGGTGTCATAGGGGTAGTTTGACCATGCTTCACACCCGTCGGCTGGGTTGTTGAAAGGGGGGGGGGGTGAAGAGGGTGGGGATAACCAGGACCTGTTCAGACATCAATCGTCACAGATGTTGGCCGTTGGCCAGAAAATCAAACCTAGGTCAACTGGGCTCCGATTAGCATGGTTGGCTCCGTACGTAGCGCAGTGCGCCAACCACTGCACGACCGCTCCCAATATAACACCCACATGCAGTTTGCATGAACCACAATGCTATAGATAAACGCAGAGACTCGTAGACTCATCCAGACCTATAGAAACCCAGATACTTAATTCAGAGTGAATTCTTAGAGACGTTATTTTTAAAAAGAGTAGGCCATTGTGTACCAGCGCCACTATCCCATTTCACAGACTATGATAAATGGCAACCCAATGTTGGCTTTGGCTAAAGCAACATAGCAGAATTGTCCCCTGCTGTGAGACTATTGTAGATTATAATCCTCCGTGAAACACAACAGCAACTTCCTTCACGATAGCCTTGCGCTATACGAGCGGCTGTAATACCAAAGGTGCTCAGTTATTTGATTTGATTCAGTTCCAGATCTGAAGATCGTTAAAGTGGAAGGAGCCAGTGAGAGGCCAGAGGAGATGGGGGATTCCCATGGGTGTCTGGGTACTCCAGACCAGAACTTCATCGAGGTGGCGTTGTCAGGGGAGGACGTTGGTGAAGGTGAGAGTTCCACCTCTGATCGCGTCGCACAGGGAGAACGCAACATCATCTTCTTGTCTCGTCGCCGGTCACGTCCTAGTCAGGCGGGAAGCTGCTGCAGTGGTGTGCTGATGGTCAGCTATAGCTCACTAGACCAGTGATCCAGATTTTGTCGATTCGACTCCATTTCCCAGCACAGCAGTTGTGAAATGATGGGACAGGATAATAAATGGGAGTTACCCACAGCTTCCGAGATGTACTGGCTCGGCGTGGTGGATTAGACCTCAATACCAGTCTAGAGCTCCCTGAAGTGGAGGATGGCACTCCACACGACACTCTGGGTCTTCTCAGCCATAGTCATGCCCTCCCTTCTCTTTGCTTGCAAAACGTGGACCCCTCTCATGGAAAATCTGCACCGGTTTAAAACTTTCAGGCTGGCCTGGCAAGGTTGCATTGGCTGGGTCATGTAGCCCTCATGCCCAGCCACCGCAAGTCCAAGCATCTTCCATTTGACCGGATAGAGGGGGCTAAACGGGCACGGCACAAGCTGGAGAAGAGATGGACTGATGCGGTACAGGAGGATGTGGAGCCGAGTGGACTTTCCGAAGACTGGTACCAGCGGTGTTAAGATTGGCCTCTGAGGAGGAGGCTCGTGAAAGATGCTACTGGGCAGTTGGAGGCAGTCGCCCTCCAACAATGGAGGGCGGATGAGCAACGCTCACAACAATGAGCGGAGTGCCAGGTAGATAACATGCGACAAGTTGGCACAGTGGAGGCACAGGTGGTGCATCTGCCAGTCTTCTCAGTCAACCCATGGCACCTGGGTCTATCCCGTGACCTTTTGACGAGCCTTCGACACTTCACGCGGCGTCTGTCTCAGTGCCTGGCACAAGCGACGTGGCGATGTCACCACCACTTAGTGGAGAATGGCGGCTGTTGTTATGGGCCAAAGCATATCCCTGCTGCACCGCGGCATTCACAGAGAAGATGTCAAAGGTGCCCCAACCTCATTTTACAGCACCCTGCGACTCTTGAGTAGAGGGCGGAGATGGGACCGAAAATGCCGTCTGGTATAGCCGCAGGACGACCCACAGTCGAGAAAGGCATTCTTTAGGTCAATGAAGACCACAAGGAGCACCTGCCTGCACTCCCTGCCACGCGCCACCAAAAACCCAAAGAGCCAGGATCCAGTCCTCTTTGGTATGAATCCAACCTCTTTTGGTCTCTGGTGCTTATTGGAAGGCGGCTGCGGACTCTTGCCAGGAGATTGTGGGCGAGTACCTTGGCAGGCACCGCGGTATTTTGGTGCGGTCAGCTCAGTCCGCCCCTTTCAGATTGGGACAATCGGTCCCCCGTCTCCAATCGGGGCGGGGGGGGGGGGGGGTGGGGCAGAGCCCAATCTCCAAACTGCATCAATCACCGTGCGGTGGAGACCTCTAAGCAAATTCTCCCCGCTGGCCTTCAGAAGTTCAGCCGTGATGCCGCAAACCCCAGCCGCCTTTCCCCCCCCCCCTTCAGCTTTCCTACCACTGTCTCTGGACTTGGTCCAGCGATGGAGGGGCATCGGATATGGGGGGGGGGGGGGGATCGGCAGCCCTGCCCATCCAGCTTCACAGCCAGAGAGGAGGCAGCGAGGGGCAGCGAGGGGCTGCTCAGAGTACCTGGCCCACACAGCCCCAGCACTCCCGAGAATCTGACACGAGAGATCCATCGGTCACCTTCGGTGAGGCCACTCGAGGTTTGGCTTTGGAGCGGAGGCGTTTGAGGCCCAATAGGCCGTCCAGGAGTCACCCGTACACGAACTGACCCATCAGGTCCACGATCAAACGCTACTTAGCCACACCGCGGATGGTGGTGTTAGTCTGTGTTTAAGATAGAATGTAAACACGCGAGAGGTGGGCCACGAGAAGGCAACCATCTGCCACCCTATGCACTCACATTCACGGAAAGACACCTGCAGGACGCAGTGCGGGCGGACGCTGCAGCACAGTTATGCATTCCATCTTGAATACACATACGCGTGTGTGTGCGTGCGTGCGGCAGACGAGGGTAGGGAGATGGAGCCGTTGTGCGAGGCGTGCCGGAGGGACCTTGGCAGGTGGTCCGTGTCGGGTCAAGCAAAACCCACGGGACGGTCCCCACGATGCTGCCTGCGGTGCGGGAAGACGCTTACAGGCGTAACGTCACGCAACAACAACGACAACGACGTTCCACGGATGAGGACATTGGCACCGAAGGAGCCGTGCGTCGTTCGATCGGAAACGGCGAAGGCTTCCAGGCCCGCGCGCAGGCCGGTGGTGCGCGGCGAACGGCAGAGGCGGCACGTGTGCGGCGAGTGCGGCAAGGGCTTCCCGTACCGCTGCCTGCTGAGGACGCACTCGGGGATCCACACGGGCGAGTGGCCGTACGCGTGCGGCGAGTGCGGCAAGGGCTTCCCGCAGCGCTCCCACCTGGAGACGCACGCGCGCATCCACACGGGCGAAAGGCCGCACGCCTGCGCCGAGTGTGGCAAGGGCTTCAGGCAGCGCTCGGACCTAAAGATCCACCTGGTGACGCACACGGGCGAGCGGCCGCACGCCTGCGGCGTCTGCGGCAAGGCCTTCTCTCAGCGCTCAAACCTCAGGATCCACGCGGCTACGCACACGGGTGAGAGGCCGCACGTCTGCGCCGAGTGCGGCAAGGCCTTCTCGCAGCGCTACAACCTGGAGAGGCACGCGCGGATCCACACGGGGGAGAGGCCGCACGTCTGCACGCGGTGCGGCAAGGGGTTCTCGCAGATCGACACCCTCAAGAGGCACGCGAGGACGCACGCCGGCGAGCAGAAGCCTTGAGGTCGAAGGAATTTGCGCTTGGTCAGAAAGTGGGGAGGGATTTGCCGATCGGATGAGCACTGATACGGCGGGGAGGCATCGTGAGTCGGAGGCCAGACGGCCCGGATCCTGGGTCCGAATCCAGGTCTCAGTTGCTTGTTGAGTAAACCGAGTTCTCGAGTGTGGTGAGCTAATGGTCTCATCTCGGTCACCAGTGACTTGCACAGACAAATAGACTCCCCCACAGGTCCATAAACCTCACACAGAGACGCACCAGAGACCTATTGGCCGAAACAGACTGAGCTGTGGTTAAACCGAGTGTCAAACGTGCAGCGAGTCGATCATCTGAGCCCGGTCACCGATGACTCCAGAAAAAACAAATCCCTGAGCGGATTCAATTTCGTTCTGCGCTGACTTTGGCCGAATCGCAGCTCCGGGAATTAAAAAAAAATCGAATCTTTGCACTTACACAACATGGCTTAATATTCAAAGCACCTCGCATCGCACCTCAGACTCAAACATTCCCAGTGCACCCCCAGTGGCAGCACACACGGTGTACAACACAGCAACGGTCTGCAAGTGTGGAAACTCGCTTTTGAATGACACCCAGCGGAATGCATTTATGATTTTCAGACTAATGAGAAAAAAATCTGAAAACATCGTAGCCGCCCTGGGTTTTTTGGCACGATCCACTTTGGGGGTATAACAAAAACGCTGGTCACCCCACCCTTGACGGAGGGGGCTCATGCCCAAGAACAATCTGTTATGGATGCTTCGGATGCTTTGGGATCATGTAGTGTATAGAGTTTACCTTCACCACACTGCTCAAGTGTGCCTGGGGTCAAGGGCCAGCAACCCTTGAACCTGACTGTCAATTACTACAAGAAACAAAGCCAAGCCTCAAAGGATGGACCAAAACGGAAACGACATGCGCCTGCCCACCAACCACGGGACAAGGAACTGCGAATCATTGAGATCAACATCCGTGGCCTGAGATCCAATATCGGAGAACTCGCCAACTTGTGCAATGAAAATGAGAACCTATAATTGTCATCGTGGTGGAAACGTTCCTGGATCCAACTGTTCAAGACGGAGGGGACTGCATTGTGATACCCGGTTACACCACGTGCAGCCGAAGAGATAGACCTGCCTCATCTGGAGGGGGCATTGCAGTGTACTGCCTAAAGGGAATTGCCATCCGTCATGACTCCCAAAGAGATCCACCAGACATAGAACTTAAGTGGCTCACAGTCACCTTACGTTCCCGGAAGCTACTCATGCGAGCTGTGTACAGACCACCAAATGCTTAACAATCACATTTTTGACCACTTGGACACTGAAACGCTGTCAAAATGACAGTTCGATGGACGTTCCATCATCCTGGTGGGAGACTTCAATGTCCATCATGAAGACTGGAAAGGTAGCAGAATAGCTTGCAAGTTCCTTTGGCCTCCAGCAGATTGTTGAATTTCCAACAAGAGGTGAGTAAATCCTGGACCATGCCATATGACTGACCTTCCTGCCATATCGACAACGCTTGCCAACCTTGGTACCTCAGACCATAACACGGTCCTTGTAAAGCTTTATGCCCCTGCGTACACAGACAAGCCCTACAATAGGAGAGTGTGGCAATACAACAAAGCCAATTACTGGGGAACGAGAGGCTTCAGCGCATCTACAGACTGGTCAAGAGTCTTCTCGGAGAGTGACTCTAAGAAGACGTGTGGCCAGGTCACTATACATCATCAGCGATGCTATGGAGCTGCTATACATCCCCGGCAAAAATGTCACCAAAAAGCCTGGAGATGAGGCATGGTGTGACGAGAAGTGTGGGAGAGCCACGAGGAAGAAGAGACGCCTCTTCCACCAGCTCAAGAAAAACGTTGCCGTCAACAAGCTGAAATGTTCCCATGCAAGACACTCCTACAGCCAGGCTGAGAAGAAGGCCAGATGGAACTACAACATCAAACTCAAGAAGGATCTTATTGCTGAAACCTTGACCAGTGAGAAATGCTGGAGACTCGTCAACTCCCTCTCTGGAAGAGCTGCAACCTCTGACATCCATATCATTGTGCACAATGATGTTGCCCATATCACGGCACGGGATAAAGCGGAAATGTTCTGTGAGACTTTTGCAAAGGTGCAAAAGAACCGGCCCCATACATTGAACCAAGCACCACCTGCTCAAATGAGAAGATCACCTTCAAGCCCAAAGACATCAACAGGCTCCTAAAGCAACTCAAGCCCGACAAAGCCACCGGCCCAGATCTAATCCCCACCAGAGTTTTCAAGCAATGCAGTGCTGAACTTCCAAGCCCTCTGTGTCACCTCTTCCACTGCTGCTTCTCGAGTGGAGTATTCCCAAACCAATGGAAGCTGGCCTCAGTAACCCCAAATGCAAAAGGACTCCAAAGCCGACCCATCAAAGTATCATCCCCCATATCCCTGCTCGGTATCATTAGCAAGATTATGGAGACAGCCATGAACAAACAATTTAAAAGGTACATGCTCAATGACAACCTGATCTCCTGCAGGAAGTTTGGATTCAGACCAGGTCACATCACAGCGGATCTTCTGAACAATCCTCTCTCGGAGGTGGAACACCTCGCTGGACAAGGGGGAAGAAGGCTGTGTCATAGCTCTGGACACCAAAGGAGCCTTTGACAAAGTGTGGCACAACGGCCTATCTGCCAAACTCTGCTCCGAGGAGGTATCTGGACAGCTTCTGACATGGCTGCAGAGCCACCTCTCCAACAGATCCATCAGAGTTGTAGTGTCTGGCCAGGCCTCAGAACTTTCTCCCATCCATGCCTCTTTACCACAAGGATCAATTTTCGGTCCACTCCACTTCCCCACCTTCGTTGACGACCTGGTCGATGTCTGCGAGAACCAGCTGTACCTCTTCGCTGACGACTCAACCCTCCGCGCTCGAATAAGATCACCTGCTGAAAGCAATGCATTGGCAGCTAGCCTGAACGGAGATCTTCGTCAAATGAACACCTGGGCAAAAAAATGGAAGATCACCTTTGAGCCATCAAAGTGCCAGACCATGGCACTGTCTTGGAAAATAATTCCATCCAATCTGGATCTGCATTTTGATGACTGACAGGTAGCATCAACCGACCGAGCTCGGAGATCCATCCTCGGTGTTACCGTTGACAGCAAGCCGACATGGGTCAAAAAACACGTCACCAACATCTCCATCAGAGCAGGACAGAAACTGCGTGCACTGAGAAAGGTGGCCAACAGACTTGACACAGAGGGCCGAGCCACAGACTACAAAGCTCCAGTCCGCAGTGTCATGGAGTGTGCCTCTTTGTGCTGCGTGGACGCTCCGCCGACTCAACTCGAAGCGTCTAGACAGCATCCAGGAGCAGGTGGTGAACTTAATTGGCGTCGATGAAGCCACCGCCAGCGCGCGACTCGCCACCCGCAGCCTGCATCACCGTCGACGAGTTGCCGCCGTCACAGCCCGCTGTACACAACGCGCTCCAACCACTGCTATGAAGACCTGCAGGCCAAGCAGACACAACCCTGCCAAGCCACGCCCTTGCCCCTCCCTTGCCCCTCCCCTCCACCAGTTGCCAGAACGTGCTCCCTGGGCAGAAGCGCCCTCTGTTGTCCGGATATGGAACTGCCTCCCTGAACAAATTGTCGCCAAAATCACCGATTCTGGTCTTCAGGCCTTCAAATGCCCGAGTACATGGACAGCTCAAAGACTAGGCCTCGTGGGACTGAGTCTTTGAGCTGCAGTGAACCGATTTGTTACGCCGATTAGATGTACTAATGTCTTTGATATGGTTATTGTTCACGATTGCACCAAAATAAAGTGTAATGTATGCTGAACTTCTTTCGCACCGTACATCTCCAACCGTGCTCATCGGAGGTGCGGGGGAAGGACAACAAACTAAACACAAAAATCAGTTCTAAAGAAATGAGTTTTTAATCTGGATCATTTAGAAGTGCATAGCTACAGTGGATTCCTAATATCGGAAGGAAGAGCATTCCAAACGGGTGCAGAAGTGCATCTGAAAGCGCCGCGCGATGGGGTGATTGTGTTCGATGGTTAGCCGAAACACGCTGCTGCGAGAATGACCGAAGTTCGCGTGATGGCTTATGGCCCTTGACGAGATCGGCGGGGTGTTGTGGTTCATTTGTGGCAAGCACTCTGTGTGTAAATGAGTGCGACCTCATAAATGTATTGGTTCGGCAACCGGTGCCGTGAACCGTCCTCAACAGGGGCAGACAAATTATATTCGTGATGCTCATCTATTGGCAATGAAGAAGGGCCATTGCCCAAAACGTCGCCAATTATACGTTTCCTTTTAAGGCCGCACGAACAGACACACGTGGTATTGTTATTGAGGAATGTGTCCAGGTGTATTTATATGCGCGTTTGTGTAATGTGTTCGCCTTGTATGTTTATTCGCATCTGCCAGTCATCGCGGAAAGTCTGTAAACTCCTGCCAGCAGCGAGAGCCTTTGCCACTTCGCGCGAATGCCCCAAAGTGGACGTAGCCTGGCGCACCGGTGAACCCGTAGCACCCGGTTCCGTCCTGTCACCCGCCACCAGCGAGAGCGTTCCACGCTTCACCCCGGCCTGACGCAAGCGCCGGCGACCCGAGTTCGATTCCCGCTCACGGCCACCGCCACCGGTGACGATTACCTCAACCGGTACCTGGGGCCTCGCCTGAGTCGACTCGGCCTCAAATGAGTTACCTGGTGCCGTGGTGAGTAGTGAACATCGTTACTGGGGGTGCTGACCTCCCAGCCTCAAGGCTACACGGGGTGGACCTTCGTCTGTATCCACACATTCGGGACGCTGCCTTCGGAACGAGAACCCCTTCACGGATACTCTGGGGAAATCCCATTGAGCCGATCGACCTTCGGCCCCCGCGCCAACGCCGCACACCGACAAAGCGGGGGGCGGCGCCGCCGTCGGGGGCGGCACCGCCGCCGGGGGCGGAGCCGCCGCCGGGGCCGACGGGCAGCGGAGCTGTCCCGCCGCGCGCCCGCGACGGGACAGCTCGCAAGCAGCACTTGGCCCCCAATGGTCTGCTCGAGGCTGCACGGGGCCGGTGCGGGGGAGCTGCGTGCGCTGCGTGCCGTCGTCGGTGAAACGTGAACGCGAGCCGAGCGGAGCGAGCGGGGGCTGCGCACTTTCTGCCTTTCGAACGTACGGCGGGGAGGTGCGCCACCGACGACGCCGCCGACGACTCGCGGGCGGCGTTCGGGCGGAGGCCAGCGGGCGGCGCTTCAAGCGTCTGCGTTTGCAATCGTCGACCGTGGAATTGCGAATAAAGTGACATTCATTATTTACTTATTTTCTCTGGCTCCCTCCTCCCCCCCTCCCCCCCTCGCGCGCAAGGCGTGGGTCTTCTGCTTCACGCGCTCCGGTTTCCCTCCTCCGCACGACGTGAATAACGAACGACGTCCACATCGGTTGCAGCACAGCGTACGCATTGCGTTCGCGTTGCATTCGTGTCGCGTCGGAGTCGCGCTGCGTTGCAGCGGGCATCGTCAGGGTGGGGATCGAACCCACGGCCTCCTGTATACCAGGCGAGGGAGTTAACATCTCCTGGCCAGCGTGGTGATGATGCGAGAGAGACACGCAGACTCCAAATATACAGGCCTGTCTCGTAGTAGCACGAAGACCCCGCGTGTAGCCTTTTAACAGACTGTAGGGGCAAGTGCTGTTAGCGAGCACCTTTGAAGACCGCCACGACACACGAGGGGGTGGGTGGCCAGCTCCACGCCTGGCCGCCTTTGTCTCCCCAGTGATGATGTTTACACACCGCACCAGGTACTCATTTGAGGCTGAGTCGACCTAGGGGAGGCTCAGATATATCGCTGTTGGTGTTGGTGGCCGTGAGCGGGAATCGAACTGAGGCCGCCGGGTTCACCACGCTACGCATCCACACCACGTAGATGCAGGCACGCACACACGGACACACAGGCACACACGCACACGGGGACACGGGCACACACGCACACACAAAGACAAAGATCCCCCGTATAGCTTTAACAGACTGTAGGGGCAAGTGCTGTTAGCGAGCACCTATGAAGGCACACACACGGACACATGGACACACGCACACACGGACACACGCACACACGGACATGGGCACACACGGACACACGCACACGGACACACGCACACACGGGGACACACGCACACACGGGGACACACACACGGACATGGGCACACACGGACATGCACACACGGACACATGCACACACGGACACACGCACACACACGTGTAGTGGCATAGCGCTGGCTGCTGCCGGAAAAGGGGTAACTGCGGTGAACGGAAGTACTCACACCAGCAGGCCACAGTATATACGAGGGGGGGACATCTCGGGGAAAGTTCATAGAAGGGGCCAATCGGGGAGCCCCAGGAACCTGCCAGGAGGTTCCAGAAAGGGGGCGTGGCCGGGGCGGAGCAAGGCCGCGCTGGGAGTATAAAAGGGGGCCCTGAGCAGGAGCTCGGGGCTGTCGTTGGAAGTGTAATCCCCGTCGTGGCTGTTCAAGAATGTGTGAGTGAGTTGGTGTGTGGGTGAGTGGGTGAATGGGTGAGTTGGTTAATGGGTGAGTGAGTTGGTGTGTGGGTGAGTGGGTGAATGGGTGAGTTGGTTAATGGGTGAGCGAGTGGGTGTGTGGGTGAGTGGGCGAGTTGGTGAATGGGTGAGCGAGTGGGTGTGTGGGTGAGTGGGTGAATGGGTGAGCGAGTGGGTGTGTGGGTGAGTGGGTGAATGGATGAGTTGTTGAATGGGTGAGTAAATGTGTGGGTGAGTGGGTGAATGGACGAGTTGGTGAATGGATGAGTTGGTGAATGGGTGAGCGAGTGGGTAAATGGGTGAATGGATGACTGAGTGGGTGAAGGGTTCGATTCCCGCTCTCGGCCAACACCGGTGACGATCTGAACCGGTACCTGGGGCCTCCCCTAGCTCGACCCGGCCTCAAATGAGTTACCTGGTGCCGTGGTGAGTAGTGAACATCGTTACTGGGGGTGCTGACCTCCCTGCCAAGGCTACACCGGGTGGACCTTCGTCTGTATCCACACATTCGGGATGCTGCCTTTGGAACGAGAACCCCTTCACGGATACGCTGGGGAAATCCGATCGACCTTCAGCCCCCGCGCCAACGCCGCACACTGACAAAGTTGTCAAGTCGCACGCCTCGCGAGGAGCGGGACACGCGTGAGGACTAATCTCCATCTGTTCCATCTCACTCCCTTCGCTTGGGGTGGGTGTCCCGGTGGTGGTCTGGCAGCAGCAGCAGCAGCGGTGTGTGTGGACAAATCCTTGGGGGGGCCGTCCATAAATGACGTCACGCACCTGGGGGGGGGCGGTGTCAGACATTTGTGACGAGGTGGGGGGGGGGGGTGTTTGAGAAATGTGACGTCACATCAAAATGCGCAACTTTCAATAAATATAGACGACACGTTCTAGTTAATTAGATAGACTTTGTAATAAATGTTTACTCCTACACCATCAGAGTACAGCGCCACGTTGAATACGCACTACAATAAATACAGACGACACGTTCTAGTTAATTAGATAGACTTTGTAATAAATGTTTACTCCTACAACATCAGAGTGCAGCGCCACATTAAATACACACTGCAATAAATATAGACACGTTCTAGCAGACACAGATATTCTGCTGTCTGTTCCACCTGAAGACGGAAGCTTGTGTTGCCTCCGAAACGTCGTGATTTAATTTAGTTTTATTTTATTTTACCTACGTGACTTTACTGAAAAAAAACCCAAAGAGTATGGCCCCCATTCAACTCGAACGGAGCCATCAAAATCAGCCCCCCAGCGGACCTCCTGTCAACTGCAGGGGTCCAGACGGCACCGCTCTCGCTCCCGACGGGCAATTGGCAGCCTCTCTCTCCTGCACTCGGCCGCACCCCCTGACGGTTTCCTGTCCGTCCGCTTTGCGGGTGCCGCGTCTTGGCCTGTATCTTGTCGGGTCTGCAGCTTGTCGCTCGCTGGGTCGCTGCGTCTCGTCGCTGCATCTTGTCGCTCGCTGGGTCGCTGTGTCTCGCGCTGTAGCTTGTCGCTCGCTGGGTTGGCGTAACGGAGCTGGAGACGAAGAGACGCGGGGAGAGACGCAGAGACACAGGTAGAGAGACAGGTAGAGAGACACAGACAGGTAAAGATACACAGAGAGACAAAGAGACACAGGTAGAGAGACAGAGAGACATAGACAGAGAGACAGATAGAGACACAGGTAGAGAGACAGAGACAGGTAGAGAGACAGGTAGAGACACAGAGACAGGTAGAGAGACAGAGAGACACAGGTATAGAGACGCAGGTAGAGAGACAGAGACAGGTAGAGAGACAGACACAGGTAGAGAGACACAGAGACACAGGTAGAGAGTGGTGGTGCAGTGGTTAGCGCACTGTGTGTGGAGAGTGGTGGTGCAGTGGTTAGCGCACTGTGTATGTGGGGAGCGGTGGGTGTAGTGGTTAGCGCACTGTGTGTGTGTGGGGGGGGAGCGGTGGGTGTAGTGGTTAGTGCACTGTGTGTGTGTGTGGGGAGTGGTGGTGTAGTGGTTAGCGCACTGTGTGTGTGTGTGGGGAGTGGTGGTGCAGTGGTTAGCGCACTGTGTGTGTGTGTGGGGAGTGGTGGTGCAGTGGTTAGCGCACTGTGTATGTGGGGAGCGGTGAGTGTAGTGGTTAGCGCACTGTGTGTGAGTGTGTGGGGAGTGGTGGTACAGTGGTTAGCGCACTGTGTGCGTGTGGGGAGTGGTGGTGCAGTGGTTAGCGCACTGTGTGAGTGAGTGGGGAGTGGTGGTGCAGTGGTTATCGCACTGTGTGTGTGGGGAGTGGTGGTGCAGTGGTTAGCGCACTGTGTGTGTGAGTAGGGAGTGGTGGTGCAGTGGTTAGCGCACTGTGTGTGTGAGTGGGGAGTGGTGGTGCAGTGGTTAGCGCACTGTGTGAGTGTGGGGAGTGGTGGTGCAGTGGTTAGCGCACTGTGTGTGGGGAGTGGTGGTGCAGTGGTTAGCGCTCTGTGTATGTGGGGAGCGGTGGGTGTAGTGGTTAGCGCACTGTGTGTGAGTGTGTGGGGAGTGGTGGTACAGTGGTTAGCGCACTGTGTGCGTGTGGGGAGTGGTGGTGCAGTGGTTAGCGCACTGTGTGTGTAGGGAGCGGTGGGTGTAGTGGTTAGCGCACTGTGTGTGTGTGGGGGGAGCGGTGGGTGTAGTGGTTAGCGCACTGTGTGTGTGTGGGGGGGGAGCGGTGGGTGTAGTGGTTTGTGCACTGTGTGTGTGTGTGTGGGGAGTGGTGGTGTAGTGGTTAGCGCACTGTGTGTGTGTGGGGAGTGGTGGTGCAGTGGCTAGCGCACTGTGTGTGTGTGGGGAGTGGTGGTGCAATGGTTAGCGCACTGTGTATGTGGGGAGCGGTGGGTGTAGTGGTTAGCGCACTGTGTGTGAGTGTGGGGAGTGGTGGTACAGTGGTTAGCGCACCGTGTGTGTGGGGAGTGGTGGTGCAGTGGTTAGCGCACTGTGTGAGTGAGTGGGGAGTGGTGGTGCAGTGGTTAGCGCACTGTGTATGTGGGGAGCGGTGGGTGTAGTGGTTAGCGCACTGTGTGTGAGTGTGGGGAGTGGTGGTACAGTGGTTAGCGCACCGTGTGTGTGGGGAGTGGTGGTGCAGTGGTTAGCGCACTGTGTGTGTGAGTAGGGAGTGGTGGTGCAGTGGTTAGCGCACTGTGTGTGTGAGTGGGGAGTGGTGGTGCAGTGGTTAGCGCACTGTGTGAGTGTGGGGAGTGGTGGTGCAGTGGTTAGCGCACTGTGTGTGGGGAGTGGTGGTGCAGTGGTTAGCGCTCTGTGTATGTGGGGAGCGGTGGGTGTAGTGGTTAGCGCACTGTGTGTGAGTGTGTGGGGAGTGGTGGTGCAGTGGTTAGCGCACTGTGTGCGTGTGGGGAGTGGTGGTGCAGTGGTTAGCGCACTGTGTGTGTAGGGAGCGGTGGGTGTAGTGGTTAGCGCACTGTGTGTGTGTGGGGGGAGCGGTGGGTGTAGTGGTTAGCGCACTGTGTGTGTGTGGGGGGGGAGCGGTGGGTGTAGTGGTTTGTGCACTGTGTGTGTGTGTGGGGAGTGGTGGTGTAGTGGTTAGCGCACTGTGTGTGTGTGGGGAGTGGTGGTGCAGTGGCTAGCGCACTGTGTGTGTGTGGGGAGTGGTGGTGCAATGGTTAGCGCACTGTGTATGTGGGGAGCGGTGGGTGTAGTGGTTAGCGCACTGTGTGTGAGTGTGGGGAGTGGTGGTACAGTGGTTAGCGCACCGTGTGTGTGGGGAGTGGTGGTGCAGTGGTTAGCGCACTGTGTGAGTGAGTGGGGAGTGGTGGTGCAGTGGTTAGCGCACTGTGTATGTGGGGAGTGGTGGTGCAGTGGTTAGCGCACTGTGTGTGTGAGTAGGGAGTGGTGGTGCAGTGGTTAGCGCACTGTGTGTGTGAGTGGGGAGTGGTGGTGCAGTGGTTAGCGCACTGTGTGAGTGTGGGGAGTGGTGGTGCAGTGGTTAGCGCACTGTGTGTGGGGAGTGGTGGTGCAGTGGTTAGCGCTCTGTGTATGTGGGGAGCGGTGGGTGTAGTGGTTTGCGCACTGTGTGTGAGTGTGTGGGGAGTGGTGGTACAGTGGTTAGCGCACTGTGTGCGTGTGGGGAGTGGTGGTGCAGTGGTTAGCGCACTGTGTATGTGGGGAGCGGTGGGTGTAGTGGTTAGCGCACTGTGTGTGTGTGGGGGGAGCGGTGGGTGTAGTGGTTAGCGCACTGTGTGTGTGTGGGGGGGGAGCGGTGGGTGTAGTGGTTTGTGCACTGTGTGTGTGTGTGGGGAGTGGTGGTGTAGTGGTTAGCGCACTGTGTGTGTGTGGGGAGTGGTGGTGCAGTGGCTAGCGCACTGTGTGTGTGTGGGGAGTGGTGGTGCAATGGTTAGCGCACTGTGTATGTGGGGAGCGGTGGGTGTAGTGGTTAGCGCACTGTGTGTGAGTGTGGGGAGTGGTGTTACAGTGGTTAGCGCACCGTGTGTGTGGGGAGTGGTGGTGCAGTGGTTAGCGCACTGTGTGAGTGAGTGGGGAGTGGTGGTGCAGTGGTTAGCGCACTGTGTATGTGGGGAGCGGTGGGTGTAGTGGTTAGCGCACTGTGTGTGAGTGTGGGGAGTGGTGGTACAGTGGTTAGCGCACCGTGTGTGTGGGGAGTGGTGGTGCAGTGGTTAGCGCACTGTGTGAGTGAGTGGGGAGTGGTGGTGCAGTGGTTAGCGCACTGTGTGTGTGTGGGGAGTGGTGGTGCAGTGGTTAGCGCACTGTGTGTATGAGTAGCGAGTGGTGGTGCAGTGGTTAGCGCACTGTGTATGAGTGGGGAGTGGGGAGTGGTGGTGCAGTGGTTAGCGCACTGTGTGAGTGTGGGGAGTGGTGGTGCAGTGGTTAGCGCACTGTGTGTGTGGGGAGTGGTGGTGCAGTGGTTAGCGCACTGTGTGTGTATGGGGAGTGGTGGTGTAGTGGTTAGCGCACTATGTGTGTGTGTGAGGAGCGGTGGGTGTAGCGGTTAGCACGCTGCGCTATGAACCTGGCGACCCGGGTTCGATTCCCGCTCACGGCCAACACCGGTGACGATTCTCTGAACCGGTCCTGGGCCTCCCCTAGGTCGACTCAGCCTCAAATGAGTACCTGGTGGGGTGTGTAAACATCGCCACTGGGGAGACAAAGGCGGTCGAGCGTGGTGGTGGCAACCCACCCCCTCGTGTGCCTTCATAGGTGCTGCTCACTAACAGCACTTGCCCCTACAGTCTGTAAAGGCTACACGGGGGATCTTTGTTTTGATTTTGTTAGTGTGATGGGGCAGTTGTGGAGAGAGTGGAGAGTTTCCCATACCTGGGCAGTGTGCTTATGACTCGCTCCAGTTTAGCAGCAGAGGTCTCACTCCGAATCAGTTGAGCGGCAATGTCTTTTCATCGGTTGCGTAACGCTGTGTGGAAGCTACCTGGTCTGTCGCTCCGTACTAAGCTTCAGGTCTTCTCGGCCACGGTCATTCCCTCTCTTCTCTGCGCTTGCGAAACGTGGACCCCCTTAATGGAACATCTTCGCCGGTTAGAAACATTTAGGCCAGCCTGCCTACGATACATCCAGGGTTTAACCAGGCTGGATTGTGTGAGGAGCTCACAAATCGTTGAAAGATCTGGGGAGGGTCCCATCGGTGAGCTCCTCCGGCAGGCAAGGCTGCGTTGGCTGGGTCATGGAGCCCGCATGCCCAGCCACCGCATGCCGAAACAGCTTTTGTTCGGCCGGATCGAGGGGGCTGAACGGGCACGGCACGGGCTAGAGAAGAGTTGGAGTGATGTGGTACAGGAGGACGTGGAGCTGAGTGGACTTGCCGATGACTGGTACCAGTGGTGTCAAGATCGGCCTCTGTGGAGGAGGCTCGTGAAGGACGCAGTTGGAGGCAGTCGCCCTCCAACAACAACGGAGGGCGGAGGAGCAACGCTCACAACAACGAGCGGAGCGCCGGGTGGCTAAAGCACAGCAGTTTGGCACATTAGGGGGCACAGGTGGTGCATCAGCCAGTAATCTCAGTCAGTCGACCCGTGGCACCTGGGTCTGCCCCGTGACCTCTTGGCAGCGGGTGTTCGACACTTCACGTGGCCTCAAGGTGCACATGGCCTGGCACAAGCGTCGTGGTGACATCACCGCCAGTTAGTGGCGAATTGCGGTTGTTATTGTGTTAGTGTGTGTGTTACTGTGTGTGTGTGTCTGTTGCAAGCGAGAATTTCATCATCACTTGCGGCTGGGGTTGCCATCGTCCCCCACTCCTCCTGATGTCGAGGGTAAATGGGCGAGGTTTAGGACTGTGACTCATGCAGCTGCGATGGCTGCTTTGGGTACGTGGTCCAGACCTCCCCAGAGAATCTGGCTGACAGAGGAGGTGTTCAGGATGTTTGAGAAAAAGCGACAAGTCCACTGTCATCGGCTACAGAATCCCACGTCAGAGAATGAGGAGGCTTACCGCAGCCTTCGCTCGGAGGTTCGGAGAGCCGTGAGGCGCTGCAAGGATGGGTGGTGGTCGCGGGTTGCTGAGGAGATGGAGTCTGCCTCAGTGGCCCGCGATCACAAATCTCTATTTAACTCCATCAAAAAATTAATCTGCAGCGCCACACCTATTACCATCATTAGGGGAAAAAACGGTGATCCAATCTCCGACCCCCAGGAACAGGTTTGCAGATTTGCTGAGCATTTCTGTGAGGTCCTGGAGGAGGGAAAATCCCTCAGCCAGGAAAACATCGTGGCAGAAAGTGAGGATTACCCTGCTGAGGCTGCGGTGCCTCAAATATTGGAAGAAGTCACCCCCTGTAAGTGGCTGGCTGAAGTGCCATCTGTTGAGGAAGTACTGAAGGCGATCCGGAGTCTTGAGACCAGGAAAGGCAGCGGGCAGAGATGATCTCCCAAGCGAAATACTGAGGGAGGGTGGCGTTTGTACACAGACTGCCCTATATGAAATCATAACAACAGTCTGGACCACTGGACGGGTTCTGCAGGATTGGAAGGATGCCCTGGTGGTCCCCCATCTTTGCTTTATTGACCTGGTCAAGGCCTATGATACCATCAGTAGGCCTGGGCTCTGGGTTGTTCTTCGTGCTTATGGAGTACCTGACCCTCTGCTCACGAACATTAAGGACCTTCATGATGGTGAGCGGGTCCGGGTAAAACTACGTGGCTGGGAGTCAGAGCCATTCCCTGTACACCTTGGGGTGCGACAGGGATGTCCTCTGGCTCCCACATTATTTAACATCTATTTTGACCACGTAGTTCGTGAAGGCTTTAATAGCTGTACCGGGGGAATCTCCATTTGGTACAGATATAATGGGAGGCTGATCGATGCCCGGGTGCAGTCAAGGGATGGCTCCCAATTGCTCAACCACGTTATGTATGCCGATGATTTGGTAATAGCTGCTCATTCAGAGGAGGAGTTGGAGACGCTGCTGCTGAGACTGGAGTGTGCCACTAAGAGATGGGGCCTTACCATCAGCCCCACCAAAACTAAGCACCTGCATCTCACTCGGACACTCCACCCCCACAACTCCCAAACGGTGATGGGGCAGTTGTGGAGAGAGTGGAGAGTTTCCCATACCTGGGCAGTGTGCTTATGACTGGCTCCAGTTTAACAGCAGAGGTCTCACTCCGAATCAGTCGAGCGGCAATGTCTTTTCATCGGTTGCGTAACGCTGTGTGGAAGCTACCTGGTCTGTCGCTCTGCACTAAGCTTCAGGTCTTCTCGGCCACGGTCATTCCCTCCCTTCTCTACGCTTGCGAAATGGACCCCCCTAATGGAACATCTTCGCCGGTTAGAAACATTTAGGCTGGCCTGCCTACGATCCATCCTGGGTTTAACCAGACTAGATTGTGTGAGGAGCTCACAAATCCTTGAAAGATCTGGGCAAGGTCCCATCGGTGAGCTCCGGCGGACAAGGCTGCGTTGGCTGGGTCATGTAGCCCGCATGCCCAGCCACCGCATTTCGAAACAGCTTTTGTTCGGCCGGATCGAGGGGGCTGGGCGGGCGCGACACGGGCTAGAGAAGAGATGGAGTGATGTGGTACAGGAGGACGTGGAGCTGAGTGGACTTGCTGATGACTGGTACCAGCGGTGTCAAGATCGGTCTCTGTGGAGGAGGCTCGTTAAGGATGCTTCTGGGCAGTTGGAGGCAGTCGCCCTCCAACAACAACGGACGGCGGAGGAGCGACGCTCACAACAACGAGCGGAGCGCCGGGTGGCTAAAGCACAGCAGGTTGGCACAGTAGGGGTGCCACAGGTGGTGCATCAGCCAGTTATCTCAGGCATCTCAGTCAGTCGACCCGTGGCACCTGGGTCTGCCCCGTGACCTGCCAGCGGGCTTTCGACACTTCAGTGGCCTGAAGGTGCACATGGCCTGGAACAAGCGTCGTGGTGATGTCACCGCCATCTAGTGGCGAATGGCGGTTGTTGTGTGTCTGTGTGTGTTAGTGTGGTGTGTTAGTGTGTTAGTGTGTGTGTTAGTGTGGGGAGCGATAGTGTAGCGGTTAGCGTGCTGCGCTATGAACCTGGCGACCCGGGTTCGTTTCCCGCTCACGGCCAACACCAGTGACGATTATCTGAACCGGTCCCAGGCCTCCCCTAGGTCGACTCAGCCTCAAATGAGTACCTGGTGCGGTGTGTAAACATTGCCACTAGGGAGACAAAGGCGGTCGGGCGTGGTGCTGGCCACCCACCCCCTCGTGTACCGTTCCGGCCTTCATAGGTGCTCGCTAACAGCACTTGCCCCTACAGTCTGTTAAGGCTATATGGGGGATCTTTGTTTGTTAGTGTGTGTGTGTGTTAGTGTGTGTTAGTGTGTGTGTTACTGTGTGTTAGTCTGTGTTAGTGTGTTAGTGTGTGTTAGTGTGTGTGTATGTTAGTGTGTGTGTGTTAGTGTGTGTGCGTTAGTGTGTTAGAGTGTGTGTTAGTGTGTGTTAGTGTGTGTGTTAGTGTGTGTTTTAGTGTGTTTGTGTGTGTTAGTGTGTGTGTTAGTGTGTATTACTGTGTGTTAGTGTGTGTCTGTGTGTACGCTGTCTAAATAGTCGCCTGAGATTCCATGTCCCTGCCTCTCAGATGGCTTCACTCGTCAAGTCTCCTCCACCTCCTCCTCCGCTCATCAAACAAGAGGCTGCTGCTGCTGATGATGATGAGGAGGAGAGCCTAGAGCCTGGGATGAGCGCTCACCTGGCGGTGAAGCGTGAAGACGCCGCCGCTGACGATGCCGACGATGACGAAGCAGCGGCAGCAGTCGGTGAGACCTCTCGGCTTGTCTCCTGCCGTCATCGTCAGCTGATTTGGACCAGGGGCGGTGCATCCGTGGGCCTCCTGAGAGAGACGCCCAGACCCAGGGATCGAACCCAGGTTCTCAGTGTCCCTAGTGCAGTGTCTCTGACACGGTCATTATGAACCCCCCTGAGAGAGAGACACCCAGACCCAGGGATCGAACCCAGGCTCTCAGTGTTCCTAGTGCAGTGTCTGACACGGTCATTATGAACCCCCTGAGAGAGAGACACCCAGACCCAGGGATTGAACCCAGGCTCTCAGTGTCCCTAGTGCAGTGTCTCTGACACGGTCATTATGAACCCCCCTGAGAGAGAGACACCCAGACCCAGAGATCGAACCCAGGCTCTCAGTGTCCCTAGTGCAGTGTCTGACACGGTCATTATGAACCCCCCTGAGAGAGAGACACCCAGACCCAGGGATCGAACCCAGGTTCTCAGTGTCCCTAGCACAGTGTCTCTGACACGGTCATTATGAACCCCCCTGAGAGAGAGACACCCAGACCCAGGGATCGAACCCAGGCTCTCAGTGTCCCTAGTGCAGTGTCTGACACGGTCATTATGAACCCCCCTGAGAAAGAGACACCCAGACCCAGGGATCGAACCCAGGCTCTCAGTGTCTCTAGTGCAGTGTCTCTGACACGGTCATTATGAACCCCCCTGAGAGAGAGACACCCAGACCCAGGGATCGAACCCAGGTTCTCAGTGTCCCTAGTGCAGTGTCTCTGACACGGTCATTATGAACCCCCTGAGAGAGAGACACCCAGACCCAGGGATCGAACCCAGGTTATCAGTGTCCCTAGTGCAGTGTCTCTGACACGGTCATTATGAACCCCCTGAGAGAGAGACACCCAGACCCAGGGATCGAACCCAGGTTCTCAGTGTCCCTAGTGCAGTGTCTGACACGGTTATTATGAACCCCCCTGAGAGAGAGACACCCAGACCCAGGGATCGAACCCAGGCTCTCAGTGTCTCGAGTGCAGTGTCTCTGACACGGTCATTATGAACCCCCCTGAGAGAGAGACACCCAGACCCAGCGATCGAACCCAGGTTCTCAGTGTCCCTAGCGCAGTGTCTCTGACACGGTCATTATGAACCCCCCTGAGAGAGAGACACCCAGACCCAGGGATCGAACCCAGGTTATCAGTGTCCCTAGTGCAGTGTCTCTGACACGGTCATTGTGAACCCCCTGAGAGAGAGACACCCAGACCCAGGGATCGAACCCAGGTTCTCAGTGTCCCTAGTGCAGTGTCTCTGACACGGTCATTATGAACCCCCCTGAGAGGGAGACACCCAGACCCAGGGATCGGACCCAGGCTCTCAGTGTCCCTAGTGCAGTGTCTCTGACACGGTCATTATGAACCCCCCTGAGAGAGACACCCAGACCCAGGGATCGAACCCAGGCTCTCAGTGTCCCTAGCTCAGTGTCTCTGACACGGTCATTATGAACCCCCCTGAGAGAGAGACACCCAGACCCAGGGATCGAACCCAGGTTATCAGTCTCCGTAGTGCAGTGTCTCTGACACGGTCATTATGAACCCCCTGAGAGAGAGACACCCAGACCCAGGGATCGAACCCAGGCTCTCAGTGTCCCTAGTGCAGTGTCTGACACAGTTATTATGAACCCCCCTGAGAGAGAGACACCCAGACCCAGGGATCGAACCCAGGCTCTCAGTGTCCCTAGTGCAGTGTCTCTGACACGGTCATTATGAACCCCCCTGAGAGAGAGACACCCAGACCCAGGGATCGAACCCAGGTTCTCAGTGTCCCTAGTGCAGTGTCTGACACGGTCAATATGAACCCCCCTGAGAGAGAGACACCCAGACCCAGGGATCGAACCCAGGCTCTCAGTGTCTCTAGTGCAGTGTCTCTGACACGGTCATTATGAACCCCCCTGAGAGAGAGACACCCAGACCCAGGGATCGAACCTAGGTTCTCAGTGTCCCTAGTGCAGTGTCTGACACAGTTATTATGAACCCCCCTGAGAGAGAGACACCCAGACCCAGGGATCGAACCCAGGCTCTCAGTGTCCCTAGTGCAGTGTCTCTGACACGGTCATTATGAACCCCCCTGAGAGAGAGACACCCAGACCCAGGGATCGAACCCAGGTTCTCAGTGTCCCTAGTGCAGTGTCTGACACGGTCAATATGAACCCCCCTGAGAGAGAGACACCCAGACCCAGGGATCGAACCCAGGCTCTCAGTGTCTCTAGTGCAGTGTCTCTGACACGGTCATTATGAACCCCCCTGAGAGAGAGACACCCAGACCCAGGGATCGAACCCAGGCTCTCAGTGTCTCTAGCGCAGTGTCTGACACGGTCATTATGAACCCCCCTGAGAGAGAGACACCCAGACCCAGGGATCGAACCCAGGCTCTCAGTGTCTCTAGTGCAGTGTCTCTGACACGGTCATTATGAACCCCCCTGAGAGAGAGACACCCAGACCCAGGGATCGAACCCAGGTTCTCAGTGTCTCTAGTGCAGTGTCTGACACGGTCATTATGAACCTTCTAGCCACCGTGATGATGGTGGTGGTGGTGGAACCCACGACCTCCTGTACACCAGGTGAGGTAGTCAACATCTCCTAGCCACCGTGATGATGATGGTGGTGGAACCCACGACCTCTTGTACACCAGGCGAGGTAGTCAACATCTCCTAGCCACCGTGATGATGATGATGATGGAACCCACGACCTCCTGTACACCAGGCGAGGTAGTCAACATCTCCTAGCCACCGTGATGATGATGGTGGTGGTGGAACCCACGACCTCCTGTACACCAGGCGAGGTAGTTAACATCTCCTAGCCACCGTGATGATGATGATGGTGGAACCCACGACCTCCTGTATACCAGGCGAGGTAGTTAACATCTCCTAGCCACCGAGATGATGATGGTGGTGGTGGAACCCACGACCTCCTGTACACCAGGCGAGGTAGTCAACATCTCCTAGCCACCGTGATGATGATGGTGGTGGCGGAACCCACGACCTCCTGCGTACCAGGCGAGGTAGTCAACATCTCCTAGCCACCGTGATGATGATGGTGATGGTGGTGGTGGAACCCACGACCTCCTGTATACCAGGCAAGGTAGTTAACATCTCCTAGCCACCGTGATGATGATGGTGGTGGAAGCCAAGACCTCCTGCACACCAGGCGAGGTAGTCAACATCTCCTAGCCACCGTGATGATGATGATGATGGTGGAACCCACGACCTCCTGTACACCAGGCGAGGTAGTCAACATCTCCTAGCCACCGTGTTGATGATGATGATGATGGTGGTGGAACCCACGACCTCCTGTACACCAGGCGAGGTAGTCAACATCTCCTAGCCACCGTGATGATGGTGGTGATGGTGGAACCCACGACCTCCTGTACACCAGGCGAGGTAGTCAACATCTCCCCTTAGCCAACGGTGGGAAGCCCCTTGCAGCGTTGCCCTTTTGTGATGCCGCAGCTGAAGGAAGCCCCGACGTGCAGCAGCAGCAGGAGGAGCAGCAGGAGGAGCAGCAGGAGGAGGAGCTGCAGCAGGAGGAGCAGCAGGAGGAGCAGCAGGAGGAGTTGGCGGGGCACGTCCCGGGATTCCGCGACTCCGGCACGCGGCAGAGGAGGAGGCCTGGGTGCAAGGTGGTGGAGGTGTGGGCGGAGGAGGTCAGAAAGTTCGTGGAGGTGGAGCTCCTGGAGGAGGAGGGGGAGGGAGACGCTGGCCGAGGTGAGACGACCCCTAACAGAACGCAGTAGCTAGCAGCAGTAGCTAACAGTAGCTAGCAGCAGTAGTAGCTAGCAGCATTAGTAGCTAGCAGGAGTAGTAGCTAGCAGTAGTAGCTAGCAGCAGTAGCTAGCAGCAGTAGCAGCAGCAGTAGTAACTAGCAGCAGTAGTAGCTAGCAGCAGTAGTAGCTAGCAGCAGTAGCTAGCAGCAGTAGCTAACAGTAGTAGCAGCTAGCAGTAGTAGCTAGCAGTAGTAGCTAGCAGCAGTAGTAGCTAGCAGTAGTAGCTAGCAGTAGTAGCTAACAGTAGTAGTAGCTAGCAGCAGTAGCTTGCAGCAGCAGTAGCTAGCAGCAGTAGTAGCTAGCAGTAGTAGCTAGCAGCAGTAGCAGCAGTAGCTAGCAGCAGCAGTAGCTAGCAGCAGTAGCTAGTAGCAGCAGTAGCTAGCAGTAGTAGCTAGCAGTAGTAGCTAGCAGCAGCAGTAGCTAGCAGCAGTAGCTAGCAGCAGCAGTAATTAGCAGCAGCAGTAGCTAGCAGCAGCAGTAGCTAGCAGTAGTAGCTAGCAGCAGCAGTAGCTAGCAGTAGTAGTAGCTAGCAGCAGTAGTAGCTAGCAGCAGTCGTAGCTAGCAGCAGTAGCTAGCAGCAGTAGTAGCTAGCAGTAGTAGTAGCTAGCAGTAGTAGCTAGCAGCAGTAGCTAACAGTAGTAGCTAGCATCAGTAGCTAGCAGCAGTAGCTAGCAGTAGCTAGCAGCAGCAGTAGCTAGCATCAGTAGCTAGCAGCAGTAGCTAGCAGCAGCAGTAGCTAGCAGCAGTAGTAGCTTGCAGCAGTAGCTAACAGTAGTAGTAGTAGCTAGCAGCAGTAGCTAGCAGTAGTAGCTAGCAGCAGTAGCTAGCAGCAGCAGTAGCTTGCAGCAGTAGCTAACAGTAGTAGTAGCTAGCAGTAGTAGCTAGCAGCAGTAGCTAGCAGCAGCAGTAGCTAGCAGCAGTAGTTGCTAGCGGCAGTAGTAGCTAGCAGTAGTAGCTAGCAGCAGCAGTAGCTAGTAGCAGCAGTAGCTAGCAGTAGTAGCTAGCAGCAGTAGCTAGCAGCAGTAGGAGCTAACAGCAGCAGTAGCTAGCAGCAGCAGTAGCTAGCAGTAGTAGCTAACAGTAGTAGCTAGCAGCAGTAGTAGCTAGCAGTAGTAGCTAGCAGCAGTAGTAGCTAGCAGTAGTAGCTAACAGTAGTAGCTAGCAGCAGTAGTAGCTAGCAGTAGTAGCTAGCAGCAGTAGTAGCTAGCAGTAGTAGCTAGCAGTAGTAGCTAGCAGCAGTAGTAGCTAGCAGTAGTAGCTAGCAGCAGTAGCTAGCAGTAGAAGTTGCTAGCAGCAGCAGTAGCTAGCAGTAGCTAGCAGCAGTAGTAGCTAGCAGCAGTAGCTAGCAGCAGCAGTAGCTAGCAGTAGTAGCCAGCAGCAGTAGCTAGCACTAGTAGTCGCTAGCAGCAGTAGCTAGCAGTAGTAGTCACTAGCAGCAGTAGTAGCTAGCAGCAGCAGTAGGTAGCAGTAGTAGCTAGCAGCAGTAGTAGCTAGCAGCAGTAGCTAGCAGCAGTAGTAGCTAGCAGCAGTAGCTAGTAGCAGCAGTAGCTAGCAGTAGTAGCTAGCAGTAGTAGCTAGCAGCAGCAGTAGCTAGCAGCAGTAGCTAGCAGCAGCAGTAATTAGCAGCAGCAGTAGCTAGCAGCAGCAGTAGCTAGCAGTAGTAGCTAGCAGCAGCAGTAGCTAGCAGTAGTAGTAGCTAGCAGCAGTAGTAGCTAGCAGCAGTCGTAGCTAGCAGCAGTAGCTAGCAGCAGTAGTAGCTAGCAGTAGTAGTAGCTAGCAGTAGTAGCTAGCAGCAGTAGCTAACAGTAGTAGCTAGCATCAGTAGCTAGCAGCAGTAGCTAGCAGTAGCTAGCAGCAGCAGTAGCTAGCATCAGTAGCTAGCAGCAGTAGCTAGCAGCAGCAGTAGCTAGCAGCAGTAGTAGCTTGCAGCAGTAGCTAACAGTAGTAGTAGTAGCTAGCAGCAGTAGCTAGCAGTAGTAGCTAGCAGCAGTAGCTAGCAGCAGCAGTAGCTTGCAGCAGTAGCTAACAGTAGTAGTAGCTAGCAGTAGTAGCTAGCAGCAGTAGCTAGCAGCAGCAGTAGCTAGCAGCAGTAGTTGCTAGCGGCAGTAGTAGCTAGCAGTAGTAGCTAGCAGCAGCAGTAGCTAGTAGCAGCAGTAGCTAGCAGTAGTAGCTAGCAGCAGTAGCTAGCAGCAGTAGGAGCTAACAGCAGCAGTAGCTAGCAGCAGCAGTAGCTAGCAGTAGTAGCTAACAGTAGTAGCTAGCAGCAGTAGTAGCTAGCAGTAGTAGCTAGCAGCAGTAGTAGCTAGCAGTAGTAGCTAACAGTAGTAGCTAGCAGCAGTAGTAGCTAGCAGTAGTAGCTAGCAGCAGTAGTAGCTAGCAGTAGTAGCTAGCAGTAGTAGCTAGCAGCAGTAGTAGCTAGCAGTAGTAGCTAGCAGCAGTAGCTAGCAGTAGAAGTTGCTAGCAGCAGCAGTAGCTAGCAGTAGCTAGCAGCAGTAGTAGCTAGCAGCAGTAGCTAGCAGCAGCAGTAGCTAGCAGTAGTAGCCAGCAGCAGTAGCTAGCACTAGTAGTCGCTAGCAGCAGTAGCTAGCAGTAGTAGTCACTAGCAGCAGTAGTAGCTAGCAGCAGCAGTAGGTAGCAGTAGTAGCTAGCAGCAGTAGTAGCTAGCAGCAGTAGCTAGCAGCAGTAGTAGCTAGCAGCAGTAGCTAGCAGCAGTAGTAGCTAGCAGCAGTAGCTAGCAGCAGTCATAGCTAGCAGCAGTAACTAGCAGCAGTAGTAGCTAGCAGCAGTAGCTAGCAGCAGCAGTAGCTAGCAGTAGTAGCTAGCAGCAGTAGTAGCTAGCAGCAGTAGCTAGCAGTAGTAGCTAGCAGCAGCAGTAGCTAGCAGCAGTAGCTAGCAGCAGCAGTAGCTAGCAGCAGTAGCTAGCAGCAGCAGTAGCTAGCAGCAGTAGCTAGCAGCAGCAGTAGCTAACAGTAGTAGCTGGCAGCAGTAGTCGCTAGCAGCAGTAGCTAGCAGCAGTAGCTAGCAGCAGCAGTAGCTAACAGTAGTAGCTGGCAGCAGTAGTAGCTAGCAGCAGTAGCTAGCAGCAGTAGCTGGCATTAGTAGTAGCTAGCAGTAGTAGTAGCTAGCATCAGTAGCTATCAGTAGTAGTAGCTAGCAGCAGTAGCTAGCAGCATCAGTACCTAGCAGCAGTAGCTAGCAGCATCAGTAGCTAGCAGCAGTAGCTAGCAGCAGCAGTAGCTAGCAGCAGTAGCTAGCAGTAGTTGCTAGCAGCAGTAGTAGCTAGCAGTAGTATCTAGCAGCAGTAGCTAGCAGCAGTGGCTAGCAGCAGTAGCTAGCAGTAGTAGTAGCTAGCAGTAGTAGCTAGCAGCAGTAGTAGCTAGCAGTAGTAGCTACCAGCAGTAGTAGCTAGCAGTAGTAGCTAGCAGCAGTAGTAGCTAGCAGCAGTAGCTAGCAGCAGTAGCTAGCAGCAATAGTAGCTAGCAGCAGTAGCTAGCAGCAGTAGCTAGCAGCAGCAGTAGCTAGCAGCAGTAGTAGCTTGCAGCAGTAGTTAACAGTAGTAGTAGCTAGCAGCAGTAGCTAGCAGCAGCAGTAGCTAGCAGTAATAGTAGCTAGCATCAGTAGCTATCAGTAGTAGTAGCTAGCAGCAGTAGCTAGCAGCAGCAGTCATAGCTAGCAGCAGTAGCTAGCAGCAGCAGTAGCTAGCAGCAGTAGCTAGCAGTAGTAGCTAGCAGCTGTAGTAGCTAGCAGTAGTAGCTAGCAGTAGTGTCTAGCAGCAGTAGCTAGCAGCAGTGGCTAGCAGTAGTAGCTAGCAGTAGTAGTAGCTAGCAGTGGTAGCTAGCAGCAGTAGTAGCTAGCAGTAGTAGCTACCAGCAGTAGTAGCTAGCAGTTGTAGCTAGCAGCAGTAGCTAGCAGCAGTAGCTAGCAGCAGTAGCTAGCAGCAATAGTAGCTAGCAGCAGTAGCTAGCAGCAGTAGCTAGCAGCAATAGTAGCTAGCAGCAGTAGTAGCTAGCAGCAGTAGTAGCTAGCAGTAGTAGCTAGCAGCAGCAGTAGCTAGCAGCAGTAGCTAGCAGCAGTAGTAGCTAGCAGCAGTAGCTAGCAGCAATAGTAGCTAGCAGCAGTAGCTAGCAGCAGTAGTAGCTAGCAGCAGTAGTAGCTAGCAGTAGTAGTTAGCAGCAGCAGTAGCTAGCAGCAGTAGCTAGCAGGAGTAGTGGCTAGCAGCAGTAGTTAGCAGCAGCAGTAGCTAGCAGCAGCAGTAGCTAGCAGTAGTAGCTAGCAGCAATAGCTAGCAGCAGTAGCTAACAGTAGTAGCTAGCAGCAGTAGCTAGCAGCAGTAGCTATCAGCAGTCGCTAGCAGCAGTCGTAGCTAGCAGCAGTAGCTAGCAGCAGTAGTAGCTAGCAGCAGTAGCTAGCAGCAGTAGCTAGCAGTAGTAGCTAGCAGCAGTAGCTAGCAGCAGTAGCTAGCAGCAGCAGTAGCTAGCAGTAGTAGCCAGCAGCAGTAGCTAGCAGTAGTAGTCGCTAGCAGCAGTAGCTAGCAGTAGTAGTCGCTAGCAGCAGAAGTAGCTAGCAGCAGCAGTAGGTAGCAGTAGTAGCTAGCAGCAGTAGTAGCTAGCAGCAGTAGCTAGCAGCAGTAGTAGCTAGCAGCAGTAGTAGCTAGCAGCAGTAGCTAGCAGCAGTCGTAGCTAGCAGCAGTAACTAGCAGCAGTAGTAGCTAGCAGCAGTAGCTAGCAGCAGCAGTAGCTAGCAGTAGTAGCTAGCAGCAGTAGTAGCTAGCAGCAGTAGCTAGCAGTAGTAGCTAGCAGCAGCAGTAGCTAGCAGCAGTAGCTAGCAGCAGCAGTAGCTAGCAGCAGTAGCTAGCAGCAGCAGTAGCTAGCAGCAGTAGCTAGTAGCAGCAGTAGCTAGCAGCAGTAGCTAGCAGCAGTAGCTAGCAGCAGTAGTAGCTAGCAGTAGTAGCTAGCAGCAGTAGCTAGCAGCAGTAGTAGCTAGCAGTAGTAGCTAGCAGCAGAAGTACAGTGAGGGAAAAAGTATTTGATCTCCTGCTGATTTTTGTACGTTTGCCCACTGTCAAAGAAATGATCCGTCTATAATTTTAATGATATGTTTACTTGAACAGTGATGATGGTGGTGGTGATGGTGGTGGTGGTGATGATGGTGGTGATGATGATGGTGGTGATGATGATGACAGTGATGATGTTGATGATGGTGGTGGTGATGATGATGACAGTGATGGTGGTGATGGTGTTGATGGTGATGATGTTGATGGTGATGATGGTGATGATGATGGTGAAGATGCTGGTGATGATGGTGATGATGATGGTGATGGTGTTGATGGTGTTGATGGTGATGATGATGGTGATGATGATGGTGATGATGATAGTGATGATGTTGATGTTGATGATGATGACGATGGTGATGGTGTTGATGATGACGGTGTTGATGGTGTTGATGGTGATGATGGTGATGATGATAGTGATGATGATGGTGTTGATAGTGATGATGGTGTTGATGATGATGATGATGGTGGTGATGGTGATGATGGTGTTGATGGTGATGATGGTGATGATGTTGATGATGATGTTGGCGATGGTGATATCAGCCACTTGTCCGAGCCGTTTCTGACGACGAGAGCTGCGGAACAGCAAATCAGCGGGTGGCCTTCAGCCCGACAACAACAAAACACGAAAAATAGTCGACGTCCGACGTTTCGGTCCACCACGTGCCAACGTCCGACATTTCGGTTGCACGTGCCACCCACCCACCGCACATAAATCGGTATGAAACTAGAACTGTAGACTCTCTTCGTTGTCGCAAGCTGAGGCCCCACTGAGCTGACATAGCTCTTAGTCAGAAGCGACCTCCTCGCCTGTAGACCAGGTGAGGTAGTCAACATCTCCTAGCCACCGTGGTGATCATGGTGGTGGTGGTGGAACCCACGACCTCCTGTACACCAGGCGAGGTAGTCAACATCTCCTAGCCACCGTGATGATGATGGTGGTGGTGGAACCCACGACCTCCTGTACACCAGGCGAGGTAGTCAACATCTCCTAGCCACCGTGATGATGATGGTGGTGGTGGAACCCACGACCTCCTGTACACCTGGCGAAGTAGTCAACATCTCCTAGCCACCGTGGTGATGGTGGTGGTGGAACCCACGACCTCCTGTACACCAGGCGAGGTAGTCAACATCTCCTAGCCACCGTGATGATGATGGTGGTGGTGGAACCCACGACCTCCTGTACACCAGGCGAGGTAGTCAACATCTCCTAGCCACCGTGATGATGATGGTGGTGGTGGAACCCACGACCTCCTGTACACCTGGCGAGGTAGTCAACATCTCCTAGCCACCGTGATGATGATGGTGGTGGTGGAACCCACGACCTCCTGTACACCAGGCGAGGTAGTCAACATCTCCTAGCCACCGTGATGATGATGGTGGTGGTGGAACCCACGACCTCCTGTACACCTGGCGAGGTAGTCAACATCTCCTAGCCACCGTGGTGATGGTGGTGGTGGAACCCACGACCTCCTGTACACCAGGCGAGGTAGTCAACATCTAGCCACCGTGGTGATGATGGTGATGATGGTGGTGGAACCCACGACCTCCTGCGCACCGGGCTAGGCAGTCGCCATCTCCCCGAGCCACCGCGGCGAACGACGGAGGCCGCCCCCGTCACCCCGCGAGGCGTCCGCCGGCCTGACCGCCGCTCGCGTTTGTGTCTCCGTCCGGCGACAGCGGCGGCGGCCGCAGCGGCGGAAGGGGAATCGCCGTGCGTGGAGTGCGGGAAGACCTCCGGCCGACGACGTCCCCGGGCGAAGGGCGTCGCGGGAGGCTGCGCCCGGTGCGGCGGCCCGACCCCCGGAGGCCCCGGCCCCTCGCCCCGTCGCCGAGGGCGGGCGGCGTCGGCGACGCCCGCCGAGCCGGGCGACGCTCCGGCCGCCGGCGGGCGAGGCCACGCCTGCCCCGAGTGCGGCAAGGCCTTCGCGTACCGGTGCCTCCTGAGGCGCCACTCGCTGACGCACGGCGGCGAGCGGCCGCACGCCTGCGCCGTGTGCGGGCGCTCGTTCGCGCAGCGCCGCAACCTGGCCATGCACGCCAGCGCCCACACGGGCGAGGGGCCGCACGCCTGCGCCGAGTGCGGCCGGCGCTTCTCGCAGCGCTGCAACCTGGCGAAGCACGCGCTGACGCACACGGGCGAGCGGCCGCACGCCTGCGCCGAGTGCGGCCGGCGCTTCGCGCAGCGCTACCACCTGCAGACGCACGCCCGCGTGCACACGGGCGAGCGGCCGTTCGCGTGCGCCGACTGCGGCCGCCGCTTCAGGCAGCGGCCCAACCTGAGGATCCACGCGGCGACGCACGCCCTCCGGAAGCCGTTCGCGTGCGCCGACTGCGGGAAGGGCTTCGCCCAGCGCTCCGACCTCGGCCGGCACGCCAGGACGCACGCCGGCGGCGGGAAGCCGCCGGAGTGAGGCGCCGTGCGCGCGCCCGTGTGTGAGACTCGCGCGTGTGTGAGTTGTGCGTGTGTGAGTTGTGCGTGTGTGAGACTCGCGTGTGTGTGAGACTCGCGTGTGTGAGACTCGCGTGAGTGAGACTAGCGCGTGTGTGAGACTCGCGCGTGTGTGAGTTGTGCGTGTGTGAGTTGTGCGTGTGTGAGTTGTGCGTGTGTGAGACTCGCGTGTGTGTGAGACTCGCGTGTGTGAGACTCGCGTGAGTGAGACTAGCGCGTGTGTGAGACTCGCGCGTGTGTGAGTTGTGCGTGTGTGAGTTGTGCGTGTGTGAGTTGTGCGTGTGTGAGACTCGCGTGTGTGTGAGACTCGCGTGTGTGAGACTCGCGTGAGTGAGACTAGCGCGTGTGTGAGACTAGCGCGTGTGTGAGACTCGCGTGAGTGAGACTCGCGTGTGTGAGACTCGCGTGTGTGAGACTCGCGTGAGTGAGACTAGCGCGTGTGTGAGACTAGCGCGTGTGTGAGACTCGCGTGTGTGAGACTCGCGTGAGCAAGACTCGCGTGTGTGTGAGACTCACGCGTGTGTGAGACTCGTGTGTGTGAGTTGTGCGTGTGTGAGTTGTGCGTGTGTGAGTTGTGCGTGTGTGAGACTCACGTGTGTGTGAGACTCGCGTGTGTGTGAGACTCGCGTGTGTGAGACTCGCGTGAGTGAGACTAGCGCGTGTGTGAGACTCGCGCGTGTGTGAGTTGTGCGTGTGTGAGTTGTGCGTGTGTGAGTTGTGCGTGTGTGAGACTCGCGTGTGTGTGAGACTCGCGTGTGTGAGACTCGCGTGAGTGAGACTAGCGCGTGTGTGAGACTCGCGCGTGTGTGAGTTGTGCGTGTGTGAGTTGTGCGTGTGTGAGTTGTGCGTGTGTGAGACTCGCGTGTGTGTGAGACTCGCGTGTGTGAGACTCGCGTGAGTGAGACTAGCGCGTGTGTGAGACTAGCGCGTGTGTGAGACTCGCGTGTGTGAGACTCGCGTGTGTGAGACTCGCGTGTGTGAGACTCGCGTGAGTGAGACTAGCGCGTGTGTGAGACTAGCGCGTGTGTGAGACTCGCGTGTGTGAGACTCGCGTGAGCAAGACTCGCGTGTGTGTGAGACTCACGCGTGTGTGAGACTCGTGTGTGTGAGTTGTGCGTGTGTGAGTTGTGCGTGTGTGAGTTGTGCGTGTGTGAGACTCACGTGTGTGTGAGACTCGCGTGTGTGTGAGACTCGCGTGTGTGAGACTCGCGTGAGTGAGACTAGCGCGTGTGTGAGACTCGCGCGTGTGTGAGTTGTGCGTGTGTGAGTTGTGCGTGTGTGAGTTGTGCGTGTGTGAGACTCGCGTGTGTGTGAGACTCGCGTGTGTGAGACTCGCGTGAGTGAGACTAGCGCGTGTGTGAGACTAGCGCGTGTGTGAGACTCGCGTGAGTGAGACTCGCGTGTGTGAGACTCGCGTGTGTGAGACTCGCGTGAGTGAGACTCGCGTGTGTGAGACTAGCGCGTGTGTGAGACTCGCGTGTGTGAGACTCGCGTGAGCAAGACTCGCGTGTGTGTGAGACTCTCGAGTGTGTGAGACTCGTGTGTGTGAGTTGTGCGTGTGTGAGTTGTGCGTGTGTGAGTTGTGCGTGTGTGAGACTCACGTGTGTGTGAGACTCGCGTGTGTGTGAGACTCGCGTGTGTGAGACTCGCGTGAGTGAGACTAGCGCGTGTGTGAGACTAGCGCGTGTGTGAGACTCGCGTGAGTGAGACTCGCGTGTGTGAGACTCGCGTGTGTGAGACTCGCGTGAGTGAGACTAGCGCGTGTGTGAGACTAGCGCGTGTGTGAGACTCGCGTGAGCAAGACTCGCGTGAGCAAGACTCGCGTGTGTGTGAGACTCACGCGTGTGTGAGACTCGTGTGTGTGAGTTGTGCGTGTGTGAGTTGTGCGTGTGTGAGTTGTGCGTGTGTGAGACTCACGTGTGTGTGAGACTCGCGTGTGTGAGACTCACGTGTGTGAGTTGCGCGTGTGTGAGACTCGCGTGTGTGAGACTCGTGTGAGTGAGACTCACGTGTGTGTGAGACTCGCGTGTGTGAGACTCGCGCGTGTGTGAGTTGTGCGTGTGTGAGGCTCGCGTGTGTGGGACTCGCGTGTGTGAGACTCGCGTGTGTGTGAGGCTCGCGTGTGTGTGAGACTAGCGCGTGTGTGAGACTCGCGTGTGTGAGTTGTGCGTCTGTGAGTATCGCGCGTGTGTGAGACTCGCGCGTGTGTGAGACTCGCGTGTGTGTGAGACTCGCGCGTGTGTGAGACTCGCGTGTGTGAGACTCGCGTGTGTGAGACTCGCGTGTGTGAGACTAGCGTGTGTGAGACTCGCGTGTGTGTGGCTAGCGTGTGTGAGACTCGCGTGTGTGAGACTCGCGTGTGTGTGAGACTCGCGCGTGTGAGACTAGCGCGTGTGTGAGACTCGCGCGTGTGAGGCTAGCGCGTGTGTGAGACTCGCGCGTGTGAGACTAGCGCGTGTGAGACTAGCGTGAGTGAGACTAGCGCGTGTGAAACTCGCGCGCGTGAGACTCGCGCGTGTGAGGCTAGCGCGTGTGTGAGACTCGCGTGTGTGAGACTAGCGCGTGTGAGATTAGCGTGAGTGAGACTAGCGCGTGTGAAACTCGCGCGTGTGAGACTCGCGTGTGTGAGACTCGCGCGTGTGTGAGACTCGCGTGTGTGTGAGACTCGCGTGTGTGAGACTCGCGTGTGTGAGACTCGCGCGTGTGTGAGACTCGCGTGTGTGTGAGACTCGCGTGTGTGAGACTCGCGCGTGTGTGAGACTCGCGCGTGAGCGAGACTCGCGTGTGTGTGAGAATCGCGCGTGTGTGAAACTCGCGTGTGTGTGAGACTCGCGTGAGTGAGACTCACATGTGTGAGACTCATGCGTGTAAGACTCACACGTGTGTGAGACTCGCGTGTGTGTGTTGCGCGTGTGTAAGACTCGTGCGTGTAAGACTCACACGCGTGTGTAAGACATGCGTGTGTAAGACGTCTTACACACGCGTGTGTGAGACACACACACGCGTGTGTAAGACTTACGCGGGCGACACAAGCTTCTTTCACGTTATTTAACCGGACCTCCAGTAACCATTGGCCCAGCTTGGAAGAGTAGGCCAAGTAGCCTCTCGCGGAGAGGGCTCTGTGTACACTGAGGGAAAAAAAGTATTTGATCCTCTGCTGATTTTGTACGTTTGCCCACTGACGAAGAAATGATCAGTCTATAATTTTAATGGTAGGTTTATTTGAACAGTGAGAGACAGAATAACAACAAAATCCAGAAAAACGCATGTCAAAAATGTTATAAATTGATTTGCATTTTAATGAAGGAAATAAGTATTTGATCCCCTCTGCAAAACATGACTTAGTACTTGGTAGCAAAACCCTTGTTGGCAATCACAGAGGTCAGACGTTTCTTGCAGTTGGCCACCAGGTTTGCACACATCTCAGCAGGGATTTTGTCCCACTCCTCTTTGCAGATCTTCTCCAAGTCATTAAGGTTTCGAGGCTGACGTTTGGCAACTCGAACCTTCAGCTCCCTCCACAGATTTTCTATGGGATTAAGGTCTGGAGACTGGCTAGGCCACTCCAGGACCTTAATGTGCTTCTTCTTGAGCCACTCCTTTGTTGCCTTGGCCGTGTGTTTTGAGTCATTGTGTTGCACACTCGAAATGAAGGACATGGGCAAGTGCTCCAAATCGAGGGCAAGCACATTTATTGTGGTTAATCTGTAATCTTGTGAAGAACAGCACCGTCACTCTGTAAAATGCACCAACACGTGTGTCACACACAGCATTTCTTCCGAGTCGCCATTAACCATGTGGCGGGTTTGCAAGCGCGGTTAATCATTAACCCTGCCAGCCACCTACAGGCCCAACTCAGTCATCACATGCTGATGTACACACACGCACTAACGCACCGCACAGCACATCAGGACGTTCATAGAACCACACTTTTACTCCCTTGCTGCACAAGGATATAATTAAAAGAGTGGTCCCTTCCTAATGTGCCACACTCTCCCCCACAGAATGAGTGTCATCTCGACACGCCATGTTTTCCCTTGCAAACATTTTGCAGTCTTTTTCCTTAAACTGGTCATGAAAGGAGTTTATGAAATCGTGAACACAATTTTTCTAGGGATCATATCCCTTCCAAGATAGCGCCACTCCAGAAGCTCTCTATTTTGGGGTGAGCTCCAACTCTTTGTGCACGAAGAGATAGGAGCCCAAGCATTGTATTATGCTTTTGGAATTTACCAGACAATCCGGTATTATTAAACCATGCCTCACATTTTACTGACCAGAAATGGTTAGGATTCTTTTCCCAGTACCTGTCAAGATAAAATCCTTTACAGCTTGTCAATGCCATGTGGAATTTACCTCTTAGGTACTTACCTATCGGCCTACCAACATACTTGAAACCTCCTCACCATTTTTTTCCATCTTAAACAATGATCCCTTCTTAACATATTAAACACAACACTAACAAACAAAAACATCTTAAACAACTAACAACTATACGACCACAGCTTATATCTTGTCTTGATCACGCACGTTGTAGTCAAAAGTTCCTTGTTTCACCACGGTCTCCAGTAGCACTCAACAGTTATCTCTTGTGCTCTCGGGCTCCTTCTCACGATGGTAGGTTCACCTAACTTGTCATAGGTGAGTGTTTTTGGCTGTCTCCTCGCTCTTTGAGGGTGGAGTCTCCTGTCGTGATGACTACTCTCATCCTCTTCATCACTCTGTTCCAGGTCCCTTCCAGATTCGCCTGCTGGACCCAGCTGCTCTTCTTCATTATTCATAGTCAAATCGGTCTCACTATATTCTGATCCCTTCGGCAAAAAACCGTCCCTCAGTTGCTTCAGTTAACTGATATTCACTCTCTGAATCTGTCTCCCTGCTCTCTGTACCAGTTGGTGATAAATGTTCCTCGGCTGCTGCCGATAACTGTTGTTCACCTTCTGTGTTGTGGGGGTGGAATTC